GCTCGAGGTACTGGCCGCCAGCAGCGGTCGTAGTAGTGCTCGGGGTACTGGCCGCCCGGGCGGCTATGACCGAGGAGTGATCCGAGGGGACTGAAACAAAATTTCGCTCAAGCTGTAACAGCTTGAGCCAAAATGGCCACGGAGTATACAATCATTCGACATGAATCGGTGAGTCAATCCCCTGACCGATTCGGTGTTTAAGTGAGATATGAAGTTGTCACTTCGCACAAACAAGTGTGTGCTACACTACAAAACGGCGAACTGAGTCCTGCTTCTGACTCTTAGTCATCCCATCAGCAGCCTGATGGTCGGAGTCGCACCACTGAAGGTTCGTGCCCTGCTCGATCAGGTGCTGCGACACACTCTGCAGCTCCAGAGCGGTGTACTTATCCTTCAGGGAATACGCCGAGGAAGCCACATCCCCTTTCTCCAACACATCATACATAGCCTTGGCGTCGATGACCAACGTCGCTTTCACCTTGCCGGCGCTGAGCACTGCCGCGTCCGGGTTCACGACTCCACCGAGAAGTTCATACCAGGTGAGTCGGGCAAACATAGCCTCTTGTTCAAGCTCGGACAGTGCTTGAGCCTCCGCCGCCAAGCTTGACCTCGCTACGCGCTGTAGCTTGGCCGATCTCCAGCTCACCAGGTTGATACGACCTTCACCTCGTTCGAGATCCCGAGGATGGATGAGTCCCAGCAGGAATCCTCCTGTCGACGAACCACCTGGCCGGTTAGCCAGCGCGGCATCGCTGAAGCCAATGAAGCAAAGCTCCTCCGGGTTGGCCTCAAGGTTCTGAATCTTGACAGAGATGTGCTTGGAGGCCTGGATCTCGCGGACCAACTTGTTGACCTGGTCGATCAAGGTGTGGTCTCGAGAGCTCAAGGAGGACTGCAGCAGGCTGAGCTTTGCTGCGTGAAATGGAGCGGTCTGAGTGACTCTCCACTGGGCAGATCCCAGCACAGCTCGCGCTTGTGAGACCTCTAAGTCAGTTAAGGGTCTCTCATCTCCTTTTGGTCTCGGTTGCATCTGGGATAAACCTTGGCTGAATTCACTGTGATCCAGTCGAACACTGCAATCTTTGTCCTGGGTGATTCGGATGCCGCAGTGGACGAAGCTATCAGCCTCCCAGGGACTCCACTCGTAGTGGTCATGGAGTTCTTGGAGGAACCGGAGATACTCAGGGGCATCCTCATTCCCGGCAAACAGCAGGTCGTCGACAAAGATCCCGACGATGCCCACAAGGGTGACCCCGTCTTCAGCAAAGATTCGCCACAAACAAGGATCACTGTGGCATTTTCGTCCTCCGTGTCGCCTGATCGTCCCGGTCAAATCAACAAACCACTCTCGAGGAGCGGAAGTGAGGCCGTAAGCCGAGCCTAAGAGCTCGACCATCTGTTTCTCTGACAGTCCCATTCGTTCCGCTAACTCAGGAACCGGTCTGGCATGTAGCGGATGAACTCGGTCCGGGGTTTTTGCCTGCAAAAAGGCAGTGCGTACATCTCCGGAAAGGATCTTCCATTTGTAGGCGGTTGCGGCATTCAAAAGAAGCATCTTCGACAAGCGGGACAACGACGGCGAAGCCGTATCCTGCTCAAGCAACGCAGGATCGCTGTAGCCAAGTATCACAATCCTTGCCTTGGCCTTGAGCTTGCCTGGGTGTTCTTCACCTGCAGATTTGAACGTGTAGATCCACCGCATTCGAAGGGCTTGCTCAGGAGTAATAGAGGGACATGCAGCCTTCACCACTTTCTTGGCAATCCAGGAGTCCAATTCAGCTGTCTTGGCATGGGCCATAGCAGCTTTCTGATTCGAATCCAATCGATTCCAAGCCACCTCAACTCCCTTCTGCACGCTCTTTGCCAGGAACTTGCTTGGGTCCTTCAGGATCCGCTTCCAAGCTCGCTCGTCCTCGGGGATCTCCACAATCGTAGAGAAGATGCCGCCGTCAACCTCCGACTCGTCCACATACTGCAGACTCCCTTGGCTCCGCACATGCCACGGGCGTTCCTCAAACTCATGAGCTTGTCGCTGCTGCCGGAAGTTGGGATCAAACTCAGGTGGGAGGTAAGTGACATCCTCGAGAAGCCGATCCAAGTCCAGCTCCCCCTGTCCGTCTACATCGCCCGCTCGGGAAGGATCGGGCGCGGTGCGTTTTCGCATCTCACGGTCCGGGATCATCTCGGCTTCGGAATCATCAGGATCTCCCAAAGGTTCACGAACAGCAGCGCTCGCATCTTCACGAGGAGCCTCGTTAGGTGCCTCTCTTTTGCTTCGCCTCTTGCTGGTTGGAGTTCGGGGCCAATGCTTCCGTCGAGGTCGAGACTCATCATCGTAAGTCCCCTTCGCCATGAGCTTGCTCAACGATGTCATAGTCCACGGCATGCTCACCGCAGACGTGGCCTCTGCCACTAGTCTTTCCGCCTCCGAGGCATGGCGAAGCTGAGAGGCGTGGAATCTTTTCAGCCGCCCTCCAGCAATGGCCCAAACAATCATGGACGGTCGTCGGGACTGTCCATCCACCTTTGTCTCACTGGCTAAGATCCGCCCGGGTCCATACCATCTCCCTGTCCGTAAACGCGGTCGGTCCACCACGTTGTTCGCTGGCAAGTCAGCAGGGTGTTGTTGCCGACGAAAGTAGATCAGGTCGCCTGGCAGGAACTGCACACTTCCACGTGTCTTTGCATTCTTGGCTCTGGAAGCGATATCATGGGCCCGGTGGTCAAGAAAGGCCTTTTCAGCGGCTCTCCTTACTTCCATAGTGGCGCCAAAGGGGTTGACGCTGGTAGAGAAAGTGTCGTCTCGAGGGAGGTCAAGAAGTCGCAGTCCGGGACTCCAATCTCGCCCCATGGTCCATTGGAGAGGAGAGAAGCCGTGGACTCGGGCCAGGGAGTTGTGTGTCATCACCATGGTCAAGGCTGCCACCTTGGGGTCCACGTTCTGTTCTCGAAGGAAAACTTCCACCTTTTGTCGAACATGCCCAATCGTCCTCTCCACTTCCGAAATGGTCTGGTGGTGCTCGGCAGGAGCGGCCACAATCTCAATGCCATGGTTCAAGCATTCTTCAGACAACACAGTGCTACGGTGGGCTCCTTCCAAATCCATCTTCAACTGCTCCGGGTATCCAAAGTAGGCAAACCAAGCCTCTCGAAGGATCTCCACCATCTGAGCGCCAGATAGATTCTGGTGCTCCTCTTCAGGGTGTCTGAAGGCCTCGCGAATCACCGCGTAGCCGCTTGCCTCGTCCACCATCAGCACAAAATGGTGCACTTGGTTCGACAGCCTCATAGTGAAGCCGTCCACTTGCAAGCACGACCATAGTTTGTCAGTCCTATCCAGGTTAACGGCTGGAGTTGGGAGTTTGATCTTCCCTTCCTGACACTCATCACATTTCAGCAAACTCACCGCTGCGATCACCTTCGGATCGGCATTCCTGGCCTGGAGGTTCTTGATCAACAGCCGATTGGAGGGATGTCCAAACTTGCGGTGAAGCTGGTGGGCCACCTGCATCAGCTTGTCTAGCTCCTGAGAGGTCAAGGTGTTCAGCGGGGTGACGTCGATAGCCATGACCGCATTCTCATTGTCCTTGTATGCAACCTCGACTTCCTCAGTAGTTGAAATGGACTGACACATTCTTTTCCACACATACTGAAGCGTCTGATTGGCCGGGTCGATGGAGTTTAAGAGCCTAGCCGAAGTTGTCGCCAATCTGCAGGGCCCCACGTCCAGGGCGTTCCTTCCATGGCCGTACTGGTTCCAGAATCGCCTCACCTCGCTCACAGACAGCGCTTGACTGTCCGGGTGGATGATCCATGCCACCTGTCCTCCAGCTTGTAGTTGATCACGAGAAAGGAGAAGAAGGTGTCGGAGCACCTTGAGGTACCTTTTCGCCTTGGTCATTGCCTTGACATCGTCCGGAGGTGGGAAAAGAACCGCTGGACCACGGGGAACATGACACCATAGCCAGAGTTTAGACTCGGTTTTCATCAGCATCTTGGCCTGTTCATACCCTCCATGGGATGCCAAATCGCATCCTTGCTCAAAGCTCATCCTTGAGGAAGAGATCCCAGTGTCCAGGAGTTCGCCCTCCAAGATGTCTGGCTCCATCCACGGTTGACAAATCTGGGACAGCTGCACGACAGGGATGGCAGGGTAGACATTGAAGATCTCATCGAGGGCCGAGTTCGCCTCCTTCAGGGGCGCCATAATGGCCAACTGGTCCTCTGCAGTGAGGTTCTCTTCCACATTGAGCTCACTGCCTTCATCCTCAGCCTCCACGGGGGGCGTGTCGAGCATCTGGAGGCCACTGACCTGGCTGCGTAGGCATTTACTGAACCTCGGTGGCCCGTCCAGTTCGAAGCTCCATGGTACCTCTTTGGCTCAAAGGCGAAAGGCTTCTTGTAGGTATTCACCAAGTAGCCAGGCGCACGAGTGCCGTTGGGGAGCTCGCGCCATGACACTGGACCCATGGGTTGCAAGTCCCCTTCCCGAGCTTCTAGCCACAGCTGCCCATTCTGAAAGGATCCCACCGAACATGTCAAGTTCGTAGATTTTGTCAGGTTGTAGGAGTCTTTATGGAGCTTGCTCTTGCAGTTGACTAAAATGCTCACTGAGGTCCAGGAGTGGGTCCCCAACGGAAACCACTGCTCCACACACTTGTTGATGAAGGAGCACAGAATCGGGTAATCGACGGTTGCCCGGGTCAGGCCGTACTGGTTGCCGTGGGCAAAGAGGCCGAAGGTCAAGACGAAAGATCCACCTTTTGTCACGTCCCAAGCCTGCCGTGCTGCACCTGTATGAACACCACACAACGACATGACCACCGTCTCCATGGCATGTACAGTGCATTGACCTGACTGTAGGAACTCACGACACTGACTCTCTATCTCCTGGTAGTTGCTGATCTGAACACGATAGCAGGCCCCCAGGTTGTTCAGGATCGGTTCTGATACTCCAGGTGCTCTGTCCTCGTTATTCAACTTCACAGGCCCCAGGTTGTTCAGGATCGGTTTTGATACTCCAGGTGCTCTGTCTTCGTCTCGCTGGCCCTTGATGCCTTCCGACTCGGGTGCGAAGGCAACTGCTCCTTGTCCACAGGAGTTGGAACCACAATGGTCCCCGGAGACAGCGGCGACTCCTCCGTCTCGGAGTCGTCGATGGCCACTGTCGCTGCTGAGGGAGGCTCCTGTGGTTCCTTGGTCTTTGTGGTGATCGTCTCCTTCGCAGCCGCCGCCTTCGAGTCCCCTTGCCGTAGGCGCCGGAGTCGTTCCAGTTGCCTCAAAGCTGAGTTCTCCGCCGCCGTGAGGCTGATCTCCTTGTTGGTCGGGTAGTACTCGGCATCTGGGTCCGCATTCTTGATCATCTCCTTGGTGTCGGGAGCCAGTGGGCCAGCCTGACGATGTTGAGCATGGCAGCCCATTCGAGGGATATACTGCAGCCGCACCTGGCACTTGGTGCACACCGTCCACTGAGCAAACTGGTTTGCCCTCGTCTTCGGAGTGTGGTTGCCCTTGCACAGACCGCCAGCAGCACGGGGATCCCGAGGGTCCACACCTTCCTGACGGTCGTAGTCCAGTGGGAGCATCTCCTGCTTGGGTTTTGCCTTCCCCTTGCCTTTGGTCTTGGAGTCGTTGGCCAGGGGCGTTGCCGCTTTCGCCGCAGTGGAGGCCATGAAGCGCAACGAGGGCAGTCAGGGTCACTATTGATCTCATCGAATTGTCGTGGTCGGAGCCACAATGCTGCCCGTGTTCATGTCGTTCACTCTGGCACGCCAAGCTGGCTTCGGGAACAGGCTCTGCACTGGACTGCTCAAGACTCTCTCCTGTCCCCTGGTCACCATCACTCAACATGTACGCAGACTCGACGAAATTTTCTTCAGGAGGCGGACATGAGTGGATGTCTCTGCCCAAGTCTGAGACTAGGCATCCTCCGGACAGCCAGTCACCTCGAAGGTCAAGAAGCGCATGCCCACTGGGTGACCGTCTTAGGGGAATCGCTCGGTTCATGTCCACAGCAGTGAAGACAATTACGAACTTGGAGAGGTCCAACACAGCACCCAATCTTCTCATGGTACGGATGCCGACTAGCAATGGAACTCCGGAGACATCAAGTGTGAAGATCCCTAGTTGAATGGCTTGCGCTCCAAGTTGTTGGGGTAGGAGGATATACGAGGCGGAATAAGCATACTCTCCGTTCCCAAACTTGAACCGCTTGGGTGGCTGATCCACGACTCGAACTTCTTCAGCGTACCCTAAGTGCTGGTGCCTGGCTCTCATAAGTTGTTCAACTGCAGGAAGGGATCCTACCGTCTCGGTCGCCCCAGTGTCAAGCACAGCGAAACCAGCCATCTCTTGAGTGGACAATTCGCCCTGACTCATAAAGGCTGGGACATCCTCTACCATCTCATCGGCCGGCTCGGCAGTCACGGTGAAGACCGAGGCATCGGAGAAGTGCACGCTACCCTGCCGGCCGCCTTTGTGTCCTTTCCCCTGGCGTCGAGGGCAAGTCCTGAAGTCGTGATCCTTTGACCCACAAATGAAGCATCCAGTGTAGCCCGGTTGTCCCACAGCCGCTCCCAGAAACCCTTGATCGTCGGCACTGGCCATCACCGGGGTGGAAGACGAAGAGGCCACCGAGGAGGGGCCTTTCCCCTTGAAGGGTTTTCCTTTTCCCTTCCGCCCCTTGCCAACCGACTTGCTCTGAGGAGCAAAAGGATAAAACCCACGGGACAAGTTCCTGGCCTTCACGGCCTGACGGGCCTGCACAAAGTTCCTCACCTTCGACTCCGCCAGGGCGAATGCCTCATCGACCTCCTTGTGCTCTTCCGGAGTCAAGAGGTCATCATAATCCTCCCAGCTCCACCATGACGTATCGTCCCATCCAGCAGCGCCGGTCTCATAGTCCTGGTTGCTCCACCAGACATTGTCAGAAGAGGGAGAGTCCTCGCCAGAGAAGTTGGCCGACGGATAGACTTGAGGAGGAAGCCTGGTGCCAACGTAGATGGTCTCTCCATTCTCCACAGACTCTTCAATCTCAGCATTATCCATAATCAAGGACCACTCGCCAGCCTCCTCGACCCAGTAGGTCCGCCGTCGGTAGTCACCTTTGGAGTGACCGCGGCCCATTGCTTCTTGGCCAACCAGCTCGTCCTCCATCCCCCTCAACGCCTTCTCAATGTCCTCGAGCTTCAAGCTGTTTCCGGCGGCTGCCTGGACTGACAACCTCGCTTGGTTCCCCAGGTTGGCTCGTCGTAAGAGGAGCCATCCCAACACTTCTGACGGCAGCACTTCCGGAAGCGTCTCCTCATGGGCCTCCCATATGGAGAGGTCTTCAAGTGCCTTTGCAGAAGTATCGCTGTCTGAAGCAGACTCCCTGCGACCCTTGCGTCGTGACCATGAACGGGAAGGAGAGTCCGCCGCGGCCTCCAACTCGTCTTCCTCCTCAACGGGAGCCACGGTCTCTGTCTCATCCTCGGCGCTGCCAGCTGCAGGTTGTTCCGCATGCGGTTCTTCTACGGTTTGATTGCTGGCTCTGCGCTGTGGCGAACCGCCCCCGGAAGACGTAGGCCTCGAGGTAGAAGATCGTAGAGGTTCAGCATGCTCCTGAGTACGCACTCTGCTCAGCGCCACCTGCAAGTGCCTGTATTGCTGCCGGAGGTGGGCAGCCCATGTCGCCATAGACTGGTAGGGCTGACGCTTCAGCCGCAGGATGAGCGACTCCAACCTCACCCCGATGTCTGGCACCGGGAGGCGGCCAAGAGCCTCCTTGAGGTACTGGAGAAGATAGACCACTCCATCACGGCGACACAGCCTTCGGTGGTCGATGTTTCCCGTGATCGACCATGCACGATCAGTCAACTGGCTGACAATCTGCGGGCCGAGCAAGTGCCTGCGCTTCCGAGGCGTCTGCTCGAAGGCCAGGCGTACCCGACGGGTGAAGTCGTTCCATCCTGACGCCTCACCATTCCAGGAGCACCGGACGTAGCTGTCCGGCTTATGTTCTGTCGATGACATAGTTCGCGCGAACGACGTGGAGTAGGAACCGGGGGTCCTCGTTCGGCTTGTCGGGACCTCAACCCGCCCGCACAAGGTCCGGCAGGTAGGTGAAGCCACCGCAGTCAAAGACGAAGTGCACAGGCGCCAAAGGACTTCCTTTAGTGCAATCTGTCCCAGAGCTGATCGAGCTCCGCTACCAGTATCAGTGACTGGGTAGCTTCACAGCTCAGAACAGCACAATCCCAACGCACCGGAGAGGCTCCGCACACTCGGATCTTTTTGCAGCGTCTTCCGTCACGGATGCTGTTGTCGAAGAGCTGAACTCCTCCTGAGGTGCCGGTATGGCGTCGCTGGAGTCGTTTTGACTCACTAGAACAAGTAGCCTAAAAGGGAAGGCCAAAGGTGCACCTCGAGAGGAAGAAACAGCGGTTGTTCGGAGTCCCTGCTCGCGCACTGTCTGGCATGAGCATGAACAGAAGGCAAAATCAAAAGTGCTTCATGAACTGACAACCACTTCCCCCTCCAGAAAGGCGACCGTTGCCCGTGGGTCGAGTCCAACAGCTGCACGCAGCATCGCCACACAGCTGTCAGTACCGGCGCGTCTGCAGCGCGAACTGAAACGGCCGGCCGGACACCTCGGTTTAGGTTTACGGAGGGCCGTTAGGCGCGAAAGGGCGATGGCATCAACATTTCCAAACCGTGCCGATTTTGTGCGATCGATGTTGATTCGCTTGAGCATGCCCTGCGCGCCGAGCATGCCGGTTCGACTCCTTTGTCACTTGCGATTGCTCACAACTGACGCCCTTCGAAAACACGAAACACGGCACGCGGCATTTGCCGCAACATTGCATATGTCGGGCACATCTGTCAAGCAGCCGCTGCGTGTGAAATGTGAGATGCCCTTCTGTGAGCTCCTCAAGGGTTGTACATACTGGAACCATTTTGCTGATCGCCGTGTTGGCGCATTTGATAAAGGTACGTTCTTGAGCATCGGAAGTCCGTACTGCTGGTCGTATTTGATGCTGACATTCGCTTGCAGTGTTGTACAAGTCTGACCACGACTCGTGGTCGTTAGCGGACGTTACCTCTTCTTATCCGAGGAGGACAACAGCATCATTTGCAACGTTTTGCAACGGCAAACTCCCGCGACAGCCTGAAGGCAAGCGTATGCCACGCGAATTGAGAACACAGGGCCGCAGTGCGCAACAGTACTTGTAACAGCCAGGAGACCTGAGTGTCACCAAGTCGCGGAAACGTGTGCAATGAGCCATGGTGCCGGGCTTGCATGCTTTGTGTGCATGCTTTGTGTGACCCACGCCGTTTTCCCGCACTTCTCTTTTTTCTCAATTCACGCACACAGGAAAGGGGAACTCTCCCAAGCCTTGTCGTATTTCCGAGACTGCAGAACGGCTGATTAGTTTCAGCATCCAAACGTGTCACCAACACAACAACGTGAACACTGCGGCTCTGGACACCCATGGGACTCCCGCTCCGACTGCCGGTTTTTCTGGGGACAGAGGATCACTCCGGCATAAGCTTGTCTTCAATCTGGCATAGCACCACCACACTTTTCAATTGATTATTGATCTATATGCCGGGCCTGGCATCGGGCGTGAGGTCTATGGGAAACTACGTGAACCAGCTACTACACGAACATCGACCCTTGATTTCGCTTCGGGAGAGGCAGCTTCAGATGAAAGCGTCGAAATCTCGGAAACACTGGGCACGAACGACCAGCTGCAGACTGCACTGGCGAATTGTGCCGTATTTTCAGAATGCAACGCTGCGTAGTTTGGCAGCCCAACCGCCATGCACCTGCATGCGGTCCTTGCCGATAATATAGCATGTGGCCAGAACGCCCGAACTGGCACAGGCCTTGCAGGGCTCGCCAAGTGATCAGCGCCCGAGCAGCTGCATCTGCGTGCTGTAAACAAAAAGGGCAGTCACAAGCGCCGCATCAGGCGGACTCGGAATTGCGTGCTGGGGATGGCCACATCATCGCGGGTGGGCATCAGGTTCAGGGCGCGGGAATGAAGGGCTCTGCTCGCGACATATAGCAGCACACGAGAAGCGGAGGTAAGGTCTGTAAGATACGTCCTCGCTGCATCTGTGGCTCCGTCGTCCGGGATCGGCAGCGAGGTGCGGCAGCAGGCTCCCACAGCGGAGCGCCAGCAGCGGAGAATTGAGTTGCGGGTCTGGGCCTGGAAAACACGCTCAACAGCTGCGGCGAGCACCAGCACCTCAACTGCAGCGCAGGTCGCCACTCTCCAAGGGGGGTGCCGGGACATGCTACCTGTGCTGCGCTTCAGCAACAAGTTGACCTGCCGCATCCAGGCGGAGTGGAACATACAAGCGTGAGTTTGTGCTCTCACGAAGCGGGAGATGCAAGCCGCAAAGTGTCCCATACGCGCGCTCGACGAGCATTCCCGGACAACGTCAAACAGGGGTGTCGCGTTCGGCAGCGAAGTGGGAATTTGCCCGGAAAGGTGCGCACAAGGTATTGATGGCTCGAGGGCATGCGCATTGAAGGAGGAGGAGACAGGTGGCCGGCAGATAGTCGAAGGCGGGAATGCGCGCAAAAAGGCGTGCTTGAGTTCAAGACGTCGATCCTGCTCTTAAAGCGGTTATAGGAGCCGGGCAAAATGAAGGCCAGGGAAAACAGATGCTCTTCTCCCGCTTTTCGAAGAGCACCCTGCGTCTGCTTCATACTTTGCAGTCCGACGGCTCTTCTTTGCAGTGCTCCTGCATCGCTAGGCACCCATGAGTTTGCGTCAGTTCGACCAATGAGATGTGGGAAGTATGCGCACTCCCGCCGGAAGATGCGAGTTCAAGACGCCGTCGGCATGGCAGAACACACCACCTCCACACAGGTGGCCGACGCAACACCCCTCCCTCCTCCACTCGCTTCAGGAAGCAGTTTTCGTTCCAAGAACATCTGCGGTGCACAGAACCAAGTTTGAAGGCTGGAAAGATAATATGCAAACGATAGACAGTAGCGCAAACCAAGACGAGGCCAGCAAAGACAAGTTGAACAGCACGGCAGCACTATGCAGCAGTCTTCGAGGTCACTGCTTTTTCTCCTTCTTCGGCTGTGACTCGAACTTCGGCTTCGCTTTCGACGTGTTCTCCTTGCCCTTGGCGCATCGACTCTACAATCGCGAGACATGCTACACTCCATTGCCACATCCAGTAGGACTGCACACGATGCTGCTCTAGAATCATGTGGTGAACATGGGATATAGGTGCTCCGCTTGTCGCGCTTTGGCGGCACAGATCGGCTGCGACTGCCTGCATCTTTTTCTGCATCTGCCCCGTCATAGTTCAGTTCGCAATCAGTTGCTCACAGCATTATCGCCTCGATGCCCCCGACGGAGGCCACGGCGATTTTTTCGCTCCTTCCGAGCCTGTGGCAACCGGCCCTTAACCCTCTCGGCACGCTTGCTGCAACAGTCTTAGCCAAGTAGTCAACCGGAACACTAGTACCACTAGCTTGCACAAGCACTGCTGCGTCAAACCTCGAGGACGCAGTGCGACTGTTCACGACTCCTCTGAGGCTGCAACGCTCGAACTGCTGCTTCTAGACCTGAACGTGGACTGCGGTGACACATTGACACAGCGCCCCTTACAACAAATCCTGAACGTCATCCCCTCCCGCACCTGCTTTGCTGAGCTGACGGTGAGGAAGAGCTCCCACCTGCAATTTCCCGGCCGATGCTAGGGCATCCAAGAAGTGCAGAGTTCGGCCTCGACCGTGCTTCGCTTCTTCTTGCTTCTGCTGAGACTTCTTCTGAGCCTCCTCCTGCCTGCAACTGCTGTAGCGTTGACAACTGCCTGACACCACACTGCACTGAAGTTCGGAGCCTTCGCTTCAGAAGTTCAGCTTGCATTCGCGCGATTTCCTTGCTCGACTCGCATTTCTCAAGTGTCACAGCCATATCAATACAGCGTCGCGTCAGGCACAGGGTCTCTAAGTTCAACTGTAAAGTCCTGCTCCTTGGCTTGCAGCAGCCTGGCACGAATCAGTGATTTTCCCTGGCCCTGGCCCGAAGCAATGCCATCCCCGAATCCCCGAACCTCATTGTCAGATGGTGCTTCGAAGATCTCCACCGTACAGATCAAGGGTTTTGCGGGCCGTCCTAAACCCTAAACCCTACCCTCTGTGGATTGTCTCGGGTTGGGCTCTGGAGTTGGGGACCCCCGGGAGTGTCAGAAGATTCGCTGGGCTTGGGGTTGGGCATGCCAAGGATTCTCAAAAACTTCTCTGGGCTTGGGCAATTCAATGATGTTCGGTACATTCTCTGATTCGGGAGACCGGGCCAGGGGTAGACCGGAGAACAGCTGAGTAGCCAGCAACCCCACACCGAGGGTGGCGAAAAAGACCCGTTGTCCCTCTTGCATGTCCTGCTCGTGCATTCTCGGCAGAAGAATAAGAAAGACCACGCCCCCTTGAGCTCGAAAGGAACATGCAAGGCTCCCAGGGCCGCGAACCACCGTGACATGCAGAAAACATCAACATGACTACAATCTGAACGTGCGGCCAGATTGAGGACGGATATCACCCAGGCACAACTTCAATAAACTGCCTACCGAAGGTTACCTTACGACTCTACGACTTTTCGCTGGCTCGCTGTTCGTAAAACTGGCTCGGCGCGACACGAAACCGTAAGCCGTGATTCCAACGCACCTCCGAGGACCCCGTCGAAAGATCCCCGGATGTTGCGCCTGGCAGCCTGCTGCGGATGGAAAGACCGAGCTTCCGCTCTGCGCTCTTCGCGAAGTTTCTCCTCCTCGCAAACAAACCAGACGGGCTGGACACTACATTCGTGAATTTTGAAGACTTGTCACCTGCTCCTTTCTCTTCCTCTCAGCACGCTCCTGGCAACGATCGGCGCAGCTACTAAAGCCCCAAATCAGCTGGTGGAGGCCTGCTTTCTGCGCTCGGCTTCCTCCTGCTTTCGCCGCTCAGACTCTTGCCGCCGATCCTGACAGATGGGTTGGAACGTTACACAATGCGAGTGCAGACCGGAAACGCGAGTGTGGTAGGCTGGGTGTCTGGAACTGTGCATTCGACTACGATTCTACTGCGTAAACTTCAATCATTGCTCCGTGTTGTCTGATGTTCCGTCTTGCATCCTGCGTTTCACCATGCCGTTTGACCACCTCCGGAGCATTTTACCGGTGACTACTTCGAACGGAGCTAGCATGCAACCCGAGCTTGAGAGATGGAAGTGTGCAGCCATCATTTCGTGCGTCACGCGATGGAGCTGTTTTCCTGACTGACTTACGTGTCTAGCTGCAGCCTAACGACTCGATTCCGCCTCTGCAGACTTCAATGCAATCAATTTTGACCGAGGTCCTCGAGCTCAAAAGGCATGCGGAGCTTCTCCTCTCGAGCCATGCCTCGTGCGATAAGCAGTCCGAAAACGCTTCATTGGCTTTCGTTCTGAGGCCATGACAGGATGCCTCGAACTCGCGCTGCTTGCCTTGGCAGAAGCAGACTTTCACGAGTTTCTTGCTAGTGTTAGAGCCGAGCAGGTGCCAAAGCATAATTCAGTCCAAGTGCGCTCCTGCTCCTGTCTCTCAGCTCGCTGCTGAGCCTTCAAAACTCAACCGTAACGAAAAGCATGCGTGGAGAGGGATCTGCTGCTCTGCCTCCTCCTCTTTTCGCAGGTCTTCCTCTTCCTGATATCTGCGATGCAGCTGCACGGTTCCCACAAAAACCAAAGGCCTGCTGCCGTCGTCGTAGGAGGAAGTTACTTCGTCGCTGGAGCTCCTTCAGACGTTTTTGTTGGCGTGCTCGTCTTACTGCAGTACTGGAGAAACGTACGAAGGCTACAGTCCGATTCGCCTGTTCAAAGCGTTGCAGCTCCGCTGCTGCTTCCTGGCGGACGAGATGGGTATCTGCTGATCGCTTTCAGACGGAGTGTTGTGGGGATTTTGCCTCTGTTTCACGCTTTCGCTTCTTGGCGGCGTCGTCCTTCAGCCTGATCGGTGAGCGATAAGTGTGCTGAGAAATCTAAGGCGGAAGCGGAATTCCTGCGGCGCTCTTCTTCGCGAGCACGCTTGGCTTCCTTCCACGTGAATAAACTCCAAACATATGACCCCATCTTCAGCAGAATCCGCACAATCATCATCACCAGCAGCAGCAGCAGCCCCGCCGTCATCTTCATCACAATGCGTGTCGTCACGACGACTGTGACGAATTTATGCTTCCCACTTCTCACACAAGAAAAGCAATGCAATATTCAATCAGTGCTGGCCTCCTCCTTTGCTTTTTTGGCTTTTTCCTCCTGGGCCGGTGCCTGCCTTGTATACTCAAGGCCCCGACACTCATCAATAAGTTCGGAGACCAAGCCCGGAACTGCGGGACGATGACATTCACGGGTCCGAATGGATTCCGCACGATGGCCTTCCAGAGGACAAGACGATATGCAGACCAGGCACTGCGAAGCTGCGTTATAGAAGAGGCCCCTGACAGTTCCAGGATTCTGCACCGAGTCCTAGAGAAACCAACGCCACCACTCAGAGGATAAGTGCGTGTCCGGACCTTCTGAGGCAAGGCAGGGCTTCCCGAAGTCTCCTGAAAGCGGGTGCGGCGAATTCCCCGAAGCTTAAAAGCTCGGGGGCGTCCTGTTTCGCCTCTTGATCCTGGCGGCAAAGGACCCTTTCCGGCGTTAAGCTGCAGCGGCAGTGGCCTCCTCTTCTTCGGGCTCCTGTGCCTGAACAGTCTCGAGAAATGAACGAGAAATGTACGAGAGGTGTATGACGGTATGAGAGCCTCATCTTCATCATCCGACTCCAGAGCCTCCACACACGGCAGAGAACACCCTTCGACGGCCGCGTCGCGAACCTGTCATGTTTCCTGACTGAGGCTGAGGCTCTCCTGGCTGCCTTCTTCCTGAGAGCACAGATAAGCCGAGCTGCTACACAGCACACAGCAAAAACCACGGTCCTGCGCCACTCCAGAACAAGCTTCTGTTTTCTCTCTTCTTCTGCTCGTCGCCGCCTCTCCTCACAGATTCTCCAAAGAGAACGGCACCTGACACCCAAGTGCCATTAAATGTCAACCCCCTCCTCCTCCTGTCTTCGGAAGAACTCCGCCTCGTCAGCAGCCATTCTGCGGCGCCTAGGCAACTGCATTCATATGGCCATGCACGGACGCATGGCTGGAGTAACGGTGAGGTTTTGTGGTGATAAAACGACGAAGCTTGCAAGGCTCAAGCTAACGTAACTCAACTGAAGGAGATACCGAGACCTCAACCACGAGGCTCCGGCTCGTCTGCTTCTCTGCGTGCCTCCTGTTGGATGAACTCCCGAACCTCATCCTGCAAACTTACAGGTCTGTACTCAGTAACAGCTCCGTTACTATTGTCTTTCACTCCGCCTCCGCCCGTTCCATGAGCTCCGCCCTGGCGGCTATGCTCGTGCTTCCACTCTGACAAGCTGCAGTCGCGATGCTCAGCCGCTGACTCAAACTCTTCACGTGCCTGTTCCTCCGCGAGAAAAGTGGCTGCCTCGACCTGCAACGGCCGACGACACCGACGACAAGGCCTAGGGCCGGCCTAGGCCCGGCTCCCGCCGTGGTCCGAGCTCGACACGCGACGGCTCTCGTCGTCTGCCTTCTTCATCGCACGCCCCTCTGCTGCTTGCGACTCACGTTCTCTTCGTCGTCGCCCTCAAAGCTAACGACACGTGAAAACACTCTGCGAGTCTTCTGGGCATATCAGGCCGTTGCGCCGTTCCTGATCAAGACGTGCCTGCGGCCGACAATCGGCACAACTCATTCCCGAATAAAACTTCGTGATTGAGGCTTTGGGAGAGCGTAATATAGACTTCTTCCATTTGCGAATGGCTTGGAGAGCTTTGGGGCCACGCCTGCTCAGCACGTCGACTCTCGCGATCAGCTTTGGACATCGCCTGGGCTTCCGAAGAGTGAGCAAGCAGCCTCAAATATTCGCAAATCTGGGGCAGCAGCGAGAGTCTCTGCAGCTTCTGCCTTCCCATCTCAGTCTAAGTTTCGTGTCGCCAGAGACGCGGCTGGAACATGCAAGAAAAAAACTTGAAACCGTCTGTTGCAATCGAAGCCTGCCGGAGCATCTCCAAATACTGGTGCTCGGCATGCAGCAGGTACTGCTGCCAAGCCTTGGACTCCGCATCCGCAGTGCGCATGGCCTGAGGGAATCGAAGACCGCTCGTGTCAGGAGCCTCAGAATCTACGCGTGCGTGTCGCACTCCAGGGCCTCATGCTCCAATTCGGTTGCCATGTTTGCTTGCCTTTTTCGCTCAGCCTGGCCAGAACTGCCAATAGCTTCGTCATGCACTTTGCGCATCACCTGCCAGCTGCCTCTACCAGTGCAACGAACATTCGTCTGCGCTGCTTGCTGAGCGAAGCATCTCTCAGAGACTCTGCTGCGGCCTCACGTCGAAGATACCATACACTCTTTTCACACCACGGAATACCGTCGATTGGACAACGAAACGAGCAGAAACCGGCCTGGAGCCGCTTGCAGCGCTCTGCATCGGCCGGCTGCGCCTGGAGACTTCAAGCCGGCACGCGAGCAGGCGAGCAGGACACGCGATCGGAGATAATCTGCCGGACAGTTTAGCGGTTTAGCGGCTGCATGCGACTGCCGAGCCGCCTCTGCCAAGACAGCGGCTGCAAAGTCGGCATTTGCTGCTTCCCAAACTACTCGCCGGCTTGCAAACAGGGCCGCCTGTGCCAGTACAGTGACAACAAGATCAGCGTTTCAGTGTCTACCAGTAACTCCTGCCTGGCGTAACCTCTCAGCTTCTGCAGCAGCCGCCTGGACTTCTCTCAGAAACACAAACATGTGGCTGGGCTGCTTGCTCCCCACCTTGCGCTGGCGAGCGGCCTCTTCCTCTGCTTGTTTCCTCAACCGCTCTGCCTTTTGCGGCAACATGAAGCCCGATCCCACTTGAAGAGGCCCAGGGCAAGTCGCCTCGGCAGCCTGTGCCAAGAGTTCCTGACGCAAGAGGGGAGAAGAGCTCTCTGGGGCAATCCGCGTAGCGAGCCTTCTCCCGGGGGCCCAAGACATGCCTGGCAGGAAGCGTTCGCTACAAGTGCGCTCTGAGGCAACACAAGCCGGAGTGGCTGGCAGCGCAGTCCCGGCAAGTCTGGCTGAGGCTGCTCAAAGTGGGCCTCAAAGAGCCAGCAGAGCACACGCGCGCAGGGTGCAAACACACAGTTTGTGCATGTTTGTGCGTCTGTGCCACGGCACCCGTGCCTTCTGCCCTCTCTGCTCCTCTTCGGCTGCTCCCGGCTGGGCTGGGGTCCGCACGGCGGCGGCCGCGTGCTGCGCCAACTCCTCGAGGCGGACCAGGGCCAAACCTCGAGGGCGGTGGTGGCACCAGTGCCCGCGCCCCCTGTGGCACATCCCGCTTTTGGCCCTGGCCGTCGCCCAGCTGCATCGCCTTCACTCTAAAGCCACGTGCTAAAGACCCTCGCTCTCCGCAGTCCCTTCCTGCACTCCTCCGAAGGGTGTGAAGAGCATCTGCAGCTGCAGGGCGCTCCAGTCCCAAGGCCTGAAATGCAGCCGGTATGACGTGTCTGTTCGCATCGTAGAGCACCACCAAGCTCCCCACAGGCCAGTCACCACCAAGTGCGTGTCAGAGAGATCCACTTCACGCATTTCTGGCCCAACCTTTGAGGAATTTCCTGAACTCCTGCTATGCTTCCTAGACCTTCGAGTGCCTCCACGGCATCGACTGCCTCCGTGGGGCGCCGCTGGGCCTCATGGCTCAATGGCTCAAGCGCTGCTTAGAGCAGCCAAACGCCAAGCGCGACAACGTTTGGGGCCCCTTTCCCAAACGGCCCCTACGGCCCCGGCGGCCGCCGGAATCGGCTCCTCTTCGGCCTCGGCCTCGCTGCCTGGGGACTTCTCCCAGCCTGAGCGCGCCGACGATCTGACGGACGACGGACGGAGAGCACCCGCTGGCGCTGGGCCACCGGCGAAGTTTCCGGCCCGTCTGCTGCAGCTTGACGCGTGCACTTCCTGAGATCTCACTGTCCCAGAACGCGGCTTTCCTCGAAGCACGTGAAAAATGTCAGCTCAGGCGCTTCGAGGCTTCGATGGTGCCGAGGGTGATCCTGCCCGATTGTCCGAACACGACAGCACTCCGAAAATGCCCCCGTACGCCCGTACGCGATACCGGCGCTGCCTGCTTCTCCTGGCTCCTTGCCATCTCTGTTGGGAGCCTGCTCGACAGAGCCCGAAGCCTCCGGAGCACCGGAATATCCGCCGGCTGAAGGCGATGGGATCCTGAGAGGATCCTCGGATTCCGCGCCCACTCCGCGCATCCGCAAGACTTCTGCGAGCTTCCAGCGACCTCTGCGTCATGCACGATCTTCGCGCTGAAGCATTCGTGCACCTGGGCATGAGGCATGAGCTTCCGCAAAAGGCAAGAGTCTCCGCGAGCTTCGCTTCTACGAGCTTCTGGCTTCTGGGGGCCTCTGTGCCACTTCGGAACCTCGAGGCGACAGGCAAAACGCGGGCTCACCTCGCGTCGGCTCGGGGCGCCCGGCGACTCCTCCAGTCGAAGCCGTCCAGCGCTTTCACTGCTTTCAAGGCCGCGCCCGGCTCCTCCGCAGCAGGCGACGCAGAAGGCGGGAAAAGCTCTTGAACATCGGAGCTCAGTCCTGGAAGGCGGCAAGGGCGATCATGGCTCCGCCACCTTGACAAATCGCACACACGCATTGACAGAAGTCGCGCTAACAAGTCGTGAGATTACATCAGACATGAGAGTGAGACGTTCGACTGCTTCAGGAAGTGTGGAAAGGGCACCAAACCTGACACTCAGGAACCTCCAAAAGCAGTCATGACCAAATACAATAACATGCCAGCTTGGCTTGGTCAAGAGAGCGGTGATCCGAGCATCCAGCTGAGGCCGCGCCTGTCAAGTCTTCAAGTTCAAGCCCTCAAAAGCTCCAGGAAGCTCTGCAAAGAGCCGTGCTCAACCTCCAAAGCCAGCCAGGAGACAGGAAAATTGCCAAGCCTCGGACAAAAACGGACACGGCCCTCATATCACTTGCCCGAAGAGGCTCCCGCAGCACTCTGGCGCTGACCTGTCGCATTTTGAACCACAGCTCCGGCACATCTTGGAGGTCTATCGGAAAAGCGACCTCTTGGTCGTTGTTATCGTCTGGCCTCGGGCCATGGGTCAGAACACGCTTTGAGTTCACAGCTGAAGCGCCACGACTGGGGCCGCCAGCTCTGTCGGAGGCTCCGTCTCGCTGCCGTCAGGTTCTCGGTCAGCCTCCTGGATCGCAGCGGCGCTCCCTTCCTGACTGGCAGTCGGTACTGGCACAGGTCGCGCGGACATGCACAGGCCACAATTGCAGACCCTCCGTGTTGAACAGAAACGGATGTGTCGCAGACCATCACGACATTCCGATTTGAAAGCCTCATAAGCTCTTCAGGGCCCCCTCGAAGACTTCATGGGTCCCGACCCGCAGAGCGACATCAGCCGAAAACTAGGGTGACGTGCCCGGTGAGAAGCCCCGCCGGAAAAAATTGTGGAAACGAGGAATGTCGAGGAATCCAAGACAAAAAAAAGTGTGTTCAATAGGACCTACGAGTGCAAGACAGAAGGTGCTCCTCACCCGAGTCGCCGACCAGTCTTCCCAGCGACCCTGCAGTTGCAGGTCTGGTCCTCAAGACTCTCTTCTGTCGAAGTCTGCGGCGATGCGCCCTGCTTCTCGGTCCTAAGCATCTTCGCAAGCGCCCTGGCGATTCTGGGCTCCTGCCGAAGAGAGAGCACAAACATGAGCAAAGCACCGGCCATCACCGGCCTCCAACTTCGCAGAGAAGCGCTCCCAGGGCTTCGCTTCGCGGCCTCGCGTTTCATCGCGCGGGCGCTGTCGGAGCGCACGGTGACTCCACAGCTGAGATCATTCCTGGACCGCTTTCTGCGCTCCCAGAGCAACGCCGCGACCTCTGGTCCCGCGATCTTCAATGTGTCCACGTTTGTGGAGTCGGGTTCTCCGGCCAGCTCCATCTGGGGTGCATTGGGAACCCAATAAGATTCGATGGTTCGGTTCTGTCGACCATCCTGAGCATTCTCGAGCTGTACATACGGCCAAGCAACAGCGCTCGCACACGCTTTGGCGGCAAACAGTTTCCAATCCCAAGTGCTATGATGCCCGCTCCACTGCAGATTGCACAGGTGTCGCAAGAAACGTTGATTAATGCTGTCAGTATCTTCGGTGCTCGAGTCTAGAGGCTAGACATTCTGATCGTGAAATGAATTACACGATCATGCCGGCACTTCCTCTACCTGGCCATCTGCCATTCTTAGAGAGGACGGCCATCTTAGGGCATCATTGGCAACAACTGGCAAGTCAGCCGACAGGCTCCAGTGCGGCAAAACGTTGTTGGTTCTCGTGCACATCAGTTCACGCCTTACTGTGCACTTTCGCCAGAGGGCTCAAACAGAAATCGTCATCCGCAGCCTGCCCGTTGCTCAGACTCCAACTCCTGCTCTTGACCTGCCATAGATGCAAAGCCAGTTCGGTGAGCACTCGTCCCACTGGACTCCTCCAACCAGGTGCGAACTTGTCAACGAGGGCGCAGTAACCCTGCTTGGCCTCAGAAATCGATATCCATTTTGCAGCTGATTGAAAATCTGCGCACAGGGTCAGGGCAACATCCTTGTCCATGCACTTCCTTGGACTGCATAACGCACCGCAATGAAGTTGACACCATCATTCTGTCCGGGCACTGCCGGATGCAACTTTTAGGAGGCTTGCCAGGCGTCAATTTTGCCCATGCATCCCACTTTGAGCGGGCAGTCACGTTCAAGGCGCTGGGCGGGTTTCCAAAAACGGGACCTTCGATTGCCTTCAGAGGCATAGGCAAAAGGCTCAGAGTCCCGACAAATCCAAGGTGTTGGCAGCCTGCTTTTGGTAGGCATATAGCTGCAACTTCTCATCGCTTGAGAGCAACAGCCCCTGTGGCGACAACTCGCTTCTGCTGCAAACTTCTGATTCGATGCAAAGCTGCTAAAACGGACACGCCTTGGCAGCTTCTTGTGCTGCAGCAAAGCGCATGTTGAGCTCCGCAAGCCGTACTCGTCGTTCGGACTCGCGCTGCTCCTGCAAGTACTGTGGCGGTGTATCGAGATGCGTTGAGCATGGACTTCCCAAGTCCTGAAAAGACCGGCCAACTGGCAGCTGCAATGGAGCCGATTCGGCCTTTGTCGGATGGGTGCTCCGAGCTGACGGCCTTGCAAGCTTTGCAGCCGACACGCCCCTTCACCAGGCTTCCTGTCTGCAGAGGAGCGAAGCCTTAGAGAACTGCCACCCGTCGCACGTACAGAGAAGCAGAGAAGTCGACGCAGACTGAAAAATACTCTACAATATCTGCTTTGCCTTGCTGCAGCCTTGCGTCAGTCCTCTGAAACCGCCGAAACATCCATCACCACAGCACAATGCTCTAGATTGAGATGGTTGTGGACTTCGGTGGACCTTGTGCAAACATGGCTTGGGTCCACTGCTTACTGCTTGGCAACAGATGCCAACTGTGGAAGGAACCTGGGCATCAGAGCTGCTGTCAACCTGAGTTCCAAATAGAGGACTGCAAGCTTCACTCACCTTCACACAAGCATGCGAAGTTCCGTTCTCAACACATCTTGCCACTGCGCCACACTCTGGGCAGATCCCAGCGGAACAGAATCCTCTGATTGGGATGGTGGAGCTGGCAGTGCCGTTGATCCCGTGGCCTGAACTCATCACTGCTGACGGAGCGCAAGGGTAAGCGCTGGTAGGGAGCCCTGCCGGCGAGACTTCCTTTGGGCCGTGGGGGCTTGCTTGCGACAAGAGCGCCTCAAGTGAGGGCAGGGAGAGAGAAAGAGAGAGAGATATATTAAAAAAGTGGCGCGGTGAACCTTCCGCTTCCGCTGAGTGCACTGCTGCAGCGGCACCCCGAGGCTTGCCTCAAGCTTGCTCCCTGCATCCTCGCAAGACAACCGCCCCGCCAGCCTGGCCGCGAGGCCCTCTTCGGAGTAGCAGCGGCAACATTCCTTCGAGATCCACATGGTCACACGTCGCATGTCATCTGTGGCAGGTAGAGCGGCGCCTTCTTGTGGTGCTGGAAGTCGATTCGGTCATGATTTCCTCATGCACAGAACCCTTATGCTGCTGGAACCACGGCAAGTGCGGGATGGCCTCTTTGGCATCTTCGGCATCTGCAGCTCCCTCATCTGAAATCTTTGGCGCTTCCGACTTCCGGCCGAGTAGTGTCGGCTTGGAGCCTCGCCTGACAGTTCCAAAGAATGCCCGAGAGCCCGAGCCAGCAAGATCTCCGGCTTCCCTGCTTCCCCCGTCCTCTGAGTGTGAGGTAGTGGCTGGACTCCCAGCAGATGCTCACTTGGGTCGTACACACCTCGTCTGGAGGTGTCTGAGCCGCCGGTGAGGCAAAGCTTTTTTCTGCAAGTCGTCTGCGAAGCTTCGGGTCTCTTCAGTCATGCGGCCACTCCTGCGACATCCTGACGAACCGCAGCCCATTCGAGCTCAGCGGGCCGGAATAACGACTCGAGGCGCAAAGGCCCTAATGGAAGGTGCCTCTGTGACTGTTCGGGACGGATAGCACGATAAGGCTCTGCTTAGCAAATGTGCCACCAGCGTTGCTTTGGACGTTTTGCTGCAAACTGCGTACTTATACTTAGCAGCTATCAGTGGCCAGCTGCAAGTTCTCATTGAAGCCATCTCCGGAGCTATTTTCAAAAAACATGTCCTGAGCCGAAAGCGATATCAAGCTCCCGTGTAACGTTCACAATCGTCCGTGGCTTTCGGCTACAACACGAAGATCTTGCGGCATGAAGCCTGCCGCCGCCCGCTTCTCGGCATTGCTTCGCAAGTCCATGCCGTCCAGCTTGGACACCGCCTTATGAAGTGAACAAGAAATGCTTGCACCCGGAAAAGATCCAAAGCATGGTTGTGCATGTCCTTGATGGCAAACGATGCTTCCACGAAGGCCGCGTACAGCACAGGTCCTCTGAGAGGTACCGATTCAGTATAGTGCGGGATACAACTTTGGAAACAGACCGCCTCTTCCTTACTTCCCTCGAGCGACACACACCCTGAAGAAATCCCTGAGCGATCCATTTGGGAGTCCTTCCTTCTTCGCAACGACCTGAGTCAGCGAGTCTGCACGACAATCATGTAATTACCCACAAGACGGTGAGGTTAAGATCTCTGCGGGCTCCAGAGCCAATGTTCCAAAGCGCCCGAGCCTTGACATATGGTGGTGAGGCCAGACAAGATAGCGACTCCCCACCGAGCGAGCCACAGACGCGATACCCTCTCTTGAAGCAAGCCGCTGTCTTCCTGGCCATCACACGGCTGCCGACAATTTCGTCCTTCACATGCTCTGCAACGGTGGCAACCTCAAGCCAGGATGCCGGGAAGTTTTGCAGTTTGACCAGCCTCGGATGCATGCGCTCAAAACTTACACTGTTTCGCCACAACCACTGCAAGGACCAACGCCATATTAACAAGCATCTCAGGCGGCAGTCCAAGCTACCCCACGGCCACCGCAGACTGACGGGAGCATGCCTGCAATCGAGTTTCTACGAAGGGCCCTGCGTCTCCTCCTGCACCCGAACAAGCCTTCTCCTGATCACTGGGAGGCTCAGTGCCCTCGGAGTCTGATCGCGGAGCATCAGCACCTAACATCTGCCGTTGAAAGGGAAGCCGTAGCTACCACGAGACAACTTGGATCTCACAACATGGGCCCCGGAGGCACAACCTCGCAACAGCTTCCATGCACCTTGTGGGGCCCACAGCAAAGCAGCAGCAGCTGCAGCCCCTGCTGCGTCCATGAAGATGGCACATTCACGCCATCACAGCTACGCTGTCAGCTTCATGCATGTTGCTTCTGCATGCGCTGAACGGAACATGACTACTTGTACTGGCTCTGCAGCACCCGTGCATGGAGAGCAGCTTCTCTGAGCGACTATGTCACGTTGAGGGAGATACTTCTCAACTACGGCTGCTTTCCAGGGTCGACTCAGGCCTCGTCGCTCGACACTCTAGATTGCTACCCTCAGCGGCATGGGTCTTGGTCATGTACCGTTAACACGCTACCACTGCTGTGTGTACAGATACGTCTGGTTGATGATGCGTTATGCAGCATGAGTGCGCTAGGTTCATGACAGATGGAATGTCTTGAAGCCGAGCCGTTCAAAACGACGTGCATGACAAGAAGTAGTACAAGTATTCAAAGTCTAGAAACCCAGGATTCCACCGAAAACAAACAAGAAGCCAAACCGAAAGCCCTCGTCATTGCGAACCCTCTCGCCGACAGTAGACAGAAGCGACGGCTAACAGCATACACTCTCAGCTTTGTTTCTGCGCAACAAGCATTCGCTTGTCTTTTCTGTGCTATCGCGTGTGTACTCCGGCAGCGCATGAATTGCTCTAACTGGCGCATGTATGGGCCATTCAAAACCAGTGCAGCCCATACCCACGCAGCGTTTGCATGGACACATCATGTGTCATGCTTTATGTGTTGCGAGGGCCGTTTGCATGGCAAGATGACCATGCCGCGTCGTAGGCGGCGTGGATCTGCTTTACTGCGGCCTGCAACACCTCAACCACACACAGCCGAAGTTTGACAACATCGAAGGCCCACACTGGCAAGTCTGTTACCAGTAGGATTACAGGCGAGATGCGGAGACATCTGGCTGCGGTAGGTTGGCCGCCTGAGCAAAGGCACAAAAGGCACAAAGCTTGAGTTCATATTTCTCGCAACCCCCTTGCCTCGAAGCGGTGGATCAAGAAGCCGGAGTCTTGCAGCACGAAACCTCATCTTCGCGATCGACTGTCAAGATTTGACAAGTTCCGGAATGCTGATCTTGATTTGTCCTTCGAAAGTCCCGGTTCTTGCGCGCAACAATCTGCACGATAACTCACGGTGCAGATCGAGATGCGAATTTGATCCAGTGTCTGCCTGGACAACACTGCAGACAGCACATCTCGCACCGTTCGTCGCATCTCAAGATGTGCAAGAGCCGTGTCTGTTCAGCTCCGTCACGCCGCCAAGGCAGACTTGCAGCCCTCAGCAGCCATGAGGCTCCCGAAGACATCGCCATCACCTGGACATCAGAAGCGTCCATCACTGAACGCTCTGACGCTCTGGCAGCCACAAAGGGCAGCCATGAGATGTCAAGCGCCGGACTGATGATCGCCGCAAGCTCGCCCATCAGATTGGATGTCTCCCGCCACACAGCTCGAAGCTGAGCGCGGCTCCGGCGCATCGACTTCATGCCGGAGGAGTATGATTGCAGCAAGTCCAAAGTGCCTAAACGAAGTCGGGCAGGCGGTATGACACTTCGACAACTGTCAGCCAGATTGCGCACCTGCTTTGCAATTCTCGTACTCGGCCAGTGTGGTGAGGGAACGTTCAAGCTGGGTGATCTCCTGAGCTTGCATCTGCTGAGCTGGTTGTTGCTAAACACATCACATGCTTCAGACCGCTTGGTACTACCGTGCAGAGGTGAGCCGAGTAACACTTGTTCAAGCATATCATTACAAGCCTCACAAGCTACCAAACACACACGTGGAGACCGACGCAACGTCCATTCCGGCAGCTTGCGACAAAACGCAACACTGACACGCCCTGACACGCCCCCGCCAGGGCCCGCCCCAAGGGCCCTTACATAGCCCTGGCCATGGTAGCAACTAGCTAGCACCTCCTTTAGAACCAGCTCAGCAGCCCTTCAATGTCTCCTCGCCCTGTGAGAATCGGACCCGCGGGACATCCACGCCCTACCGCAATTTGCTACAGAAGTGAGCAGCCAAACAGATCTGGGATCTGTTCCGCTCTCTAGATCAGCCGCCACAACGGCATGCCGGACGCGCCTTCTGAGCGGAAGAATCACGGCAGAAAGGGTTCGGGGGGCAGGGTAGGGAAGTGGTGAGGGAGTGAGAGGAAGGGAGGGAGTGATGGAGTGAAGGAGTGAGGGAGTGAATCAGAAGACTTGGGTCCCAGGAAGTGCCCTGGTGGATAACACCTAAGAGTACGGCTATCATTCATTTAAGGCAGTGCTGAATCCACAGATCAGGCAGGATCGCGTACCTGTCTCTCCCTCCGTCCACGTGTACGTCCTTCCCTCCCGTCCTCTGTTCGTGTCTGACTGAGTGTGTCTTACCAAATTTCGGCAACCACTGCGTGCTCGCCTGCAACCAAGTTGCGGCTCCGGCGATGTCAATATAGCGGTCCAGCCTGTCCCTGATGTGCCACCACAACTTGTCCAACGTCACCAGGGTCCGCTCCGCATCCATTCGGGCCCAGGACTTTGCAGCCTCTGAAGGGCTCTCTCTTCGGTTGGGGCTTGGGACTCGGGCTCGGAATGGGTCGGGGATGTCCTTGTGTGCGTCGCGACTGTGTGCCCGATAAATGCCCAAGACCTGCCAGCTGCCGGAATTCGCCGCATTGCAATGATCTTGTCCCACTCCGCTTGCGCCCTGCCTGAGCTTGCCGACGCGTCCGCTCCTGAAAGGACTGGATGCGGCTTCGGGGAGGCCCTTTCACAACCGGCCCAAGAATGGCTTTTGTCCGGACTCCGGACCTGGCCTGCAGCTGCTGAGCCTCGCGGGCGACCTGGCGTCCTGAGCGGCCACAGCACGCTTCACAACTTCACTGCAGGCTTCACGCGTCCGTGCAGAGCTGACGACAACTTCAGGTGTGGTCTCCAAAAGTTGCAAACTTCGGGTTTGCATGCCTATGTGGTATTTTGAATTGTGTAAAGAGCCATCAGGACCCAAAAGAAAAACAAAACATGGGATATCCCTCACATCCTCTTCTTGAGAAAGGCAACAAATGCCAGCAACCTCGTTGGTTCCTGACTTCATTTGCCAAATCAAGGTGTTTACTGTTGACTAGTGTTAAGCATCCAAGCGTCCTACGGCCTGCGCCTTCGTGAGCCCACCCGTGGATGCCCGCATCGTCTGGTACAGGTCCGACATGAGACTCTGGAACTTCTGCACCTTGCGGCCACAAGCCACAACCCGCCATGTGAGCCAAGAGAGCAGAGTTCAAGGAGGGAGCCGGCCCGCCTGGCCGGTACGTGTGGCGTTGCCCTCGACCAGAGGCTCCGCGGCGGAAAGAAACCTGCAAACGGCAACCTTTGGCGTTTCGACCCTTTATCTGCCTGAGCGTCCAAAGGCCGAGTCAACGAACTCGCCTTGTCAGAGCGTCCCCGGCAGCAACACGGGACACGCCCAAGGAGGAGATCTCGGCAAAGCCCTTGAGCTCGGCGAGCATGGACCCCGTGGCAGTTACCGCATTCTGCAAGAGCTCCTTTGATTCAGAAACACCGCCCACAGTTTACACATTTGATGTTCAAGCTTCTGCTCCTCTTCTTTGGGCTGTGTGTTCTGGGCAATGTGGTGCAAGTAGATGGTGTTGATCTTGAGGGAGTGGTCGATCTTCTTGTCCAGGTATTCTGTTTCCGTCCTGGTTGCTTCCGTGGACCACTCCACCATCTTCCTCATGTTGTCATTCGAGATCTTGGTAGCCTCAAACATGCACAGAATCCACGTGCAAGCCGTACTGCTGCTTGGCCCTCTCGATATCTCCCTGCCCCTCCGTTACACCTGTTCCAAGTTCCGCAGAATGGTGCGGTCGCCACGGATGACGGCGTCACGCACACAGTGGATGTCACAAAAGAGCCGTGAGAAGCCAGCCTGGCCAATCTTGCCTAGACCCGTTTGTGCACTCATCAAAAGCTCGTGCACCGCCCACCTCGTAGGGATTGCAGGCCTTGTATCCTTCTATTTCAACTTGGAGATCCACTGCTTGCTTGGAGATGTCAAAGGGAAGATCCACTATGGTTCCTGCAGCTGCGATGAGGAAGAGCATTGAGGTGTGTATCGGTGTGTACACATGACAAGTTAGACATACATAAATAAAGAGAGAGAGGGAGAGAGTCTATGGTAACTATGGTACTTCCGGGATTTGTCGTTGCCGCCGAGCATCGTACTAAGTCCGTAACTTCGGAACAGATCTTGGGCGGCTGGGGCTGGCGAGACAGGCGCTGTTGTAAACCAGGACCCAGCCAACACTTCAAGCTCGAGGCAATCGAGCTCACAGAGTGTTCCCCGAGCGGGAAAGAGAGAGATCAAGGGCAGGGCAGGTGAGGGCACGGCAGGACAGAACACGCAAAGAGCATGCGCGCCTCGACACCAACGCCCAGTGGGGCAATGACTGTGCTAGGAAGGGCTGCGCAAACCAGCCTGTGTTCAAGCGATGATCTTTCGATGGCTTCAGTTAGCCCATGCTCATCCCCTGTAACATCTGCGGGCTACGACCGCTGCCAAGACACTTGACTGCAGAGTGAACAACGTTGGCCTTGTCATCGAAAGAGTTGAGCGACACACCCGCTACTGCAGAGCGCACTGATGGCACATGATAGTGCAGCCGATTGGCAATGCTGTGGTAGAGGCTGTTGCCGAACTCCATATAGCCAGAGAGCATATCTCGATTGATGTCCCCTTGCATACACCGAATCCAATCCTTGCAGCATGAGAAACGCTTGCACCAGGATGTAACGTGATGTATCATGCATCGAAGCATGTGAGTCACCTCACACTGGGCACCGCACCTTGTAGAGAAGGTTGGGAGGCGAACCCTTGCCGTCACCGTGTCCCAGCCTGACTGGCAAACAACACAGCGTTGACTGCTGTGATGCGGAGATGTGCAAGCATCACACAGGCCTTCCAAATATTCCAAATTGCGTGGTCTGTACAATCTCGCAGGGGTGGACGTCTGGCAGCTCGGCGTCGACAGTGCCTGCATCGGGCTCTAGCTTCGACTCTTCCACGATCTCCTCCTCAGCAGCTGAAGCATGTCGAGACGAGTCTTCACACCCTGATTCTCATTCCGCCGAGGTGCCTTGTCTGCGTTTGTGTGTGTTTCGGTGAGCGTGTTCCACAACTCCCCGTAGTCGAGGCACTCGTCTGCGTACTTGGGCATCTCTGCCTTGAAGTCCTCGTCAAAGAGATGCATCCCTGTCCATGTTGCGGTCCCTGCCCCGTGGCCTGTAATTTGGGCTTAGCCGGCTGCGCTGGCCGCTTCGGCGGTTTAATCGCCTGAGCAAGACTCCTGCTTCAAGGTTATATGCTTTTCCAGTGAACATGCTCCAAGGTACCTTAAGCTTCTTGGCCAAGTCGTCCATTCCTTGGCTTCCACTTCGAGAAATCGACTGCACACGCAGCCCCAAAAATAAAATTGCCGCGCATCCCCCTGCTTCCATGGAGGGGACACCCTTGGCCTCGAAGTGCCCGTCAAAGTTTGTGACATTCAGAACCTGGGAATCTCAGAAATACCGACACAACAGCAACTAGAAGCATGTCGTGTACCCTTGGCCAAATGCACTCTTGGGGGCCTCGAGCATCGTCATCAAAACACCCACGGGATTGGCACCACCAACCGGCGACGAGCAGTCCGGGCCCACACACCACCTCGCAAACCCACAATTTTTACTCTGTATATCTACCCTTGTACTTGGCCAAAGCACTCGCCGTTCCTCTCGAAAGACAGGGTGTCACCAGTGAGTGTATTTACGTACCTCGGCCGGGGCGGAAGGGATGGGAATCAGAAACCCCGCCCAACCCATGTCACTCCGAACTTGGAGACAGGGGACTTGTATCGTCCGGTGTGGGCGTCTGGCTCCAAAGGACAGAAAACACCTCAAGATCCGATTGTGCATTGCGCACGGGTGAACCGAATCACTAGACAACCAGACAGCAGGGCAAGCAGACAGACACACGGACAGACAGACAGACGAAGGAGTGTCCATGCACGTTCTGCATGGCATCTACACACAGGTGCAAGGCAATGACTCCAAGATACCAGTTCCGGCTGGCCGTGATGCCCAGAGAGAGAGCGAGAGAGAGGGAGGGAGGGAGGGAGGGAGGGAGGGAGAGAGAGAGAGAGAGAGAGAGAGAGAAAGAGAGAAAGAGAGAGAGAGAGAGAGAGCGAGCGAGAGAGAGAGAGAGAGAGAGAGAGACGGAGAGACGGAGAGAGAGAGAGCGGGAGGGAGAGAGAGCGAGAAAGAGCGAGAGCGAGAGCGAGAGAGAGAGAGAGAGAGAGAGAGAGCGAAAGAGACAGAGAACCAGGAGGCAAGCGGGTAACTGACGGCAGGAACAGGGAGAGCAAGATGCAATGGATGCAATGACCATGACAACGCTGTTGGGGCCTTCCGGTGCTTGCGTCATGCTTTCGATGGTCGTGGAGGGCTCCATGACAACAGGAGCGCCGCCGGCTTTCGCACAAGTGTACCTGATCTGAGGCGCAGGTTGGGCGGGGGGCCGAATGATGCCGAATGTTCGGTGCCCATCCGAGGTGCTTGGAGCGGGCCCAGCGTCCGCCCTCGGAAAACTCGAAGTGGAAGCCGCTGAGCAAGGCATCAGCACCACAATCCACCTTGATCATCCGCCTCGGCCCCGACAGTCTCCGTCTGACCCTTCAGCAGTCAGCGCGTGTCTAAACAGCCCGAGCTGCAGTGCATTAATCCAATTCGCTCTCTTCAGGTCAAACTTCTTCACTTCCACTTGGGCACTGAAGTACTCGAAGGTCTGCCCCAACCCACCGATGCGGCTGCACTCAAACCTTAGCGATAGCACAGACACACCTGACACACAAATCATGCACGCGCAAACTTCTTCTTGTGAGACAAGGTGCCGGAAGATGTTGCGTGCAGGCAGAAGCTTAAAGCCCGTCAAAGCTTCTCCATCTGGGCATAGTACCGGGGAGTCGGCCAAGAGCGTGTTCCATTCAGGCCAGTCCTGACTTCGCTTGTCGTAGGTGATCGACGTGTCCATGAACTCTCCTTGGAGCCAGCGAGCTGCTTACACGCCCTGCGGAGTTTTTCCGAGTGCATGCGAAGTTCCGAACTTGATCACTGGTGCGAAGTGGCACGTCGACTTCAGCCCGGAGGTGTCCCCTGGAGAGCTGCGGAGCGATTCGGTCTGACAATGCTCTGACTTCTTCCTCTCTTCCTCTCACGGGCCTCCGAAAACCTGGCCGAAGGCAAGCGAGGCCAAAGCTCCATGGGCGCCGCAATAGGACCCGTAAGCCTCAGACAAAGAGACGGGCCTCGAGAATCGAACCCGATCGACTCCGAGACTCCGAGCCTTGTGGAAATCCTCGCCAAGAGTCCGGTCCGCTTCCTGACAAAGACTTGGGAACAAAGGCGACTTGCGGCGGGGTGGACTGCGGTTCCCTCCTTGTGCATATCCCACATAACACCAGGGACGGCCATCGGCGAAATGAGCTGCTGCGCGTTCTCCAGATCACACTTCCTCAGAGACTTCCAAGTCGTTGTGCGAGGACACTTGCCCTGCCCCCTTCTTCAGGACGAGTCTCTTGTAGGCCAGGCTGGGGCTGATACCATCGTCCCCGGGCACCGCTTCCAGGCCTAAGTCCAAGTGGCAGGATGTGGCAACGGCGTCACGCCCGCAGGGAAGATACAAGTAAGCAAGCAGCAGAAACCGTTGTCAGGGATGCCAAAGTCCAGCAGAGCCATCATGCGGTCCTCGACTTCGGCCGAGCCCACAACCTGCGCTGCGGCACTGCCATGGACTGCCCGACTTCCCGACATCAATCCGCAAGTCTGCACTGTCACCCTGCAATGCCGCGCAACTTGCATGGCCAGGATTTCGGGACAAGCGGATGCAGCCATCAGCGTCATGTTGCCACCCTTAGACTTAGACACTTGGCATTGAAGCCGGCAGGCCACAGGCACAGGCTGACAGGCAGCTCATGGCCACCAGGGCAGAGGCATCAAACCACCGGTTTTTAACACGCCGAGCGACTGAGGAACTGCCACCGGTGCCCTTCATGAGGCAGTACTTCTGTGCGGCACCATGCGTGGCTGCCAGAGAACCCAATTCAGTGTACACGCGCATTGCCATGCGGCTGAAGTAGTAGAGTTCTTGCTGGTTCCTCTTCGCGTAGTTAGTGTAACCTGGGTTGAAGGCCTTCACCATTTGCTACGAGTAGACAGATTTCGACTCCAAGAAGACCCTGAAAACTTGTACGAACTTGCCAGGAGTCCTTTCCCAGCGACGAGAACGCATGGCTCACAAGAGAAGGCTGTCAGTTCGGGAAGCTGCAAGGAGTTGTACCAGTCTCCGTTTACACAGTGCAGAGTCTCTGCAGTGTGGCGATAGCCCGCACGGAAGGACTGATAGCGCTCCTGCCAACAACCGACAGTCAGCTCCGTGCCATGCAGGAAGCTGGAGGGCAGAGGCCGCTTTCCACGCCATGCATGGGAGCTGGGCTCGCGGTAAGCCGGCCGAGCACAGTGCTCCACCCCGATTCCGCCCATGAGCAGCAGTGCATCACACTGCTGGAACAAGTGCACATAGCGGAAGGACTTTGACATGATCACAGAGTCGGTCTCCGCAGGCGCATCCTGGAGTAAATTGCTGGACACGACCCGCGTCAGGTTGATGCCAGCGAGAATGAGAGCAGATGACCGAACGTCTGCGCATCGGGCGAAGATCTTGATTCTGGCATGAACTGCACAGGGGCTTTCAGCAGTCGGTGTCAATTCTGCTCGTTCGCATCGTGTCCCATACTAGAATGCAGTAGTTCACATTGCCTTCGGATGAGACTGCAGTAGGTAGACGAGTAGACGACATGAGGCGAGCAAAACTTAGAATAGCCCGGGCTGGACCAGCTTGGTTTTGAGTTAGATGTAGATAGGCTAAGATGGTCACATACCAACATTCGACTTATTGCATCTACAAATGGATTCCGCACAAGGATATGGTAGGCAAACAGATGAACTCAAACAGACGGAGACAGAATGACGCAGACAAAGACAGACATAACAAAAGCGGATGACCCACGCAAAGACATGCCTCACGGGACTCAGCGGGATAAGCTTACACGAATTTGAGAATATGCCGGGCTGGGGTAGCATGTGCAACTAAACTCCTCAGGTTGATTGATTGATTGCCTATGGGTGCGGTCGCCCTTGCACTTGCAAGGCAAAGGAGGCTGTTCCGTGCTGTACACACAGACAGCGCTCACACTCTCGACGGCTGCACACGGGCAGAGTTGCGGACAGCTCTGCGCAGCGCAAACAACTGGACATGGCATAAACTACGGAAAAAACTCACAGCACACGGCATACAGGGGTTTTCTCCGTGAAAGAACTCTCGTTTGCGTCTCTGTGCTTCTCCTTATGCAAATAAACTAACAAACAAACATAACAACAAACAAACAAACAAACGCACGAACAAAAAAACAAGAAACAAGCAAACATACAAATATAGTGATTCATTGAGCGCTTGCGATAGTAGGCAGGTTGGTAGCTCCCCCCGTAGGCAGTCAGCCGAGCAGAGTTAGGCCAGGCAGGCAGGCAGGCAAGCGGCAAGCGGGGGGCTAGCTGCTGGGCTTGGTAGATAGATAGAGCGAACAGCGAAATTCGTAAGAATGCGTTCATGCTGTATCTTGCTTTTGAAAACTACCTACCGATAAAGCACTGCTTGGTCATTGCTTTGGCAGCGGGGCCTCGGACAACTCTCCCAGGGCCCGTTGTGGCGCGGCAGTTGTTACCATCCGTCCAGAGGCGAGCGCATTCCTTCTCGGAACCGCTGAGAGACTGGCACCAGCACCCAACTAGGACTTTCGGAGAAGGACAGCTCGCCACCGGACCCTCCTGCGGGGAATGGCAAGATAGAACCTGGAAGGCCTGTGAAGCCTGCGACAAAACACGTGCAGATCAAGCGCATGTGCATACTCTTCAAGCTCGGAATGGCTGCAGTAACATAGCATCGCGTGCTGTGGTGCTTTCAATCTGTTGGATGTGTGCCGTTAACTCCCATCCTCCTTGTCGGACCAGTACCAGCCGTCGGCCGAGCGGTCCTCCCAGTCCTTGCTGCATTATTGATGTCGAGGCTCTCATCTCACAGCCCTTTCCAGCCGGGGTTCGCGAGCTGCTGGGTCATCGAGCTTTCCGCACAAAGCTTGTGCATATCCACCTGACTGCACCCGAACAAAACTGCTAAGCCTCAGCACCACGCCTCAATGATACAGCATACTTAATCATTTGATCGCAGGCACCTTTTGCCCTGCAACTATTACCATTCCTCCATACCCGCTTGCAGTGATGGCGGACGTCAGTCCAATGGCCCTGCTTCTCCTTGAAATCGTCCGGATAGCATGAGCAGGAGAGCAGTCCTTGACCCGCATTCTTTCGACCCACCAACATGCTCCGGCAAATCATCTGGCCAAGTGTCGCTTCCCGCTGGGACACGATGCAGACACCTGACACACATTGACATGTGTGGTATCAACGACCAAAGAAATGCCAAGATCCTTGTTGCCTCTGCCGGCAACGTGCGTCTACGCCGAGAGCGTCTGCGGCGGGCGCGTCTGCGCCTATCTTGCTGCATCGTTTGTAATGGTCGGAAAACACTTCACACCATCGATCCAAGACCACACAACCCTTGCCCCACAAAGGCCATGGTAAGCCGTGATCCCATTGGAAGCCGCCTGGCGCGTCTTCTGCGTGCGCGTCTGCGGCGACCTAAGAGCACGTCCGAGCTGACACAAACGGACACGAGCAATGATGAAATTAAAACCTGCCATTGCTTCACGCCAAGATAACGACGTCGCCGTCGCCGGCGCCACGATTGCACGCCGGAAACTGAACAAGCATCTCGATTACATGCAAGGGAGAGAGATGCTAAAGCGAGACATCTCGGATCGAACAATGTCTCAGACAGGTTCCCAGGCGAAGAATCGTCGAATCGTCCCTCCCGGTGAATATCCAGGGCGGTGCGGGCATTCGGGAAAACGCTTCGAAGTCTCAAGCGACAGCAACTGTGATTCACTTGCAGCTGTAGCTCGTACATGTCATTCCGACTAGTTGTACTACACGACATCCCGCTTGCACGCAAGAGAAAGAGGCCCTTCTGGCATGAAACAGCACAAGGCAGCGAAATATGGCGAAACGCATTTGATCTCACATCTCAGCGCGTCTGAGGCGTTGCAAATGACCATGAACCTCTCGGCTTGCGCAGGCCCAGCCTGACTCCATGCCTTCCTGTGCCAGCACAACGCCGTGCTCTGAGTTGAATGGCACCGTCTCATCATCCTCGTCCTCGTCGCATGCCACACATGATCCGCAATTCTCGAACAGGGTCGGCACGAGGCAGAAGTGTTTTGTTGCAGATATTCAGGTTCCACAAGACAACGTGAGGTTGTTCCAAACGTGTTCCACGTTCCAATGTATCGGGTCGGGCCTGCCGCACACATTCGCACTCGAAGTGTACAGTTTTGGGAAAAGTTGCCGATAAGAGATATTGGTATGATATTGGTTGGAAGGCGTACCGCACGGGCCCGTGTGCCCGGGCACAGCCGGGCGAACACGCTTAGAAAACTGTCGGAACACTTCCGTTGCCATGGCAAACCTTGGAAACAGTCCAGTAGATCTGTCCAAATCCAGGAGCCCTATCCGAAGGCTCCACATACGGGTCGGCCCAGGAAAGAGAACACATTCGTGCATGTATCAGTGCTCTTTACCACTAGCAGTCACTACCGACCTGTCAATTGAGACTTCTCTGTCACAAGTTGAACAGCAGCTTTCAAGTCCTCGGAAATGTCACTTTCATCTTCGGAGTCAACCTGGGATGATGTGCCAAATTTCAGGTTCGATCTGCGGCTGACATTGCACAGTCTCAGCAGCTTCAGCATCCACATCGTCTTCAACTTCCGCTGCTCCATCGGCTTCCACCTCGCTGTCCTCGTCGCCTTAGGTAGCATCCCAAACCCGCCAAACCCCCATCCTGCCTTCTTGGATGCCGGGGCTTCCACCAAGGGCATCGAGCTCCGTGGCCTTGCTTGACGCACATGTGCCCAGCAATGCTTCCAAAAAGAAGGCCGGAAGCAGCCTCCTCGTCTTCCTCGCGGGCATGACCATCAGCGTCCAGACCTTGAGTTCGACCCGAAACGACCGGTCGCATCTGAAAGAAGGAGCCAAGTGAACTGAGCCGTGAACTTACCTCAACGTCTACGTCACCCTCCTCCGCTTCCATGGCATCCTCCGAGAAGTTGTCGCCAGCTGCAGCCCCGCCCTGCAGAAAGCCTCGTTTCCATCACGATACAAGATTTGTATCGACTTGCGTTGCTCGTCTTCCTCGGTGTGGAATTTTGTGTGTCTGCAGGCACTGAATCCGAGGAGCTGAAGCTGGCGCCGCTCGATGTGACGACTTGGAGATTGCGGACGTACCTGGGAGACCGAAGAACTACGGCTTCGTCCCGTCTGCCTCGCGACGCCTGGCTAGGATCCATTTTTTCCCGAGGCGCTCCATCTTCATGCAGCGCACGTGGGCTCGCACCGACACGCCTTTGGAGGACCATCCGCTGACCTCCCGGCTCCTCGGCTCAAAGCGAGCTGGAGCTGTGAGAAACCTTCGGCCGCTTAACATGCCCTTCCAAGCGTCCCGTAGGCTTTGCATGTTGTGGGGTTGGACGCCGGCTCCATCTTCGCTCCGGCACAGATACCCGAATCTGCCTGGTGCTCACACCCTGGCACGACGAGTCTGACTTCGGAGATGCTCGCCAAGCCGCATAGCACGAGCAATGAGTCATCTTGGCTTGAGCGGAGCTGGGAACGATGCTGGGAACCAAGGGGGCTTTCGGGCTTTAGCAAACTCAGAGCCGCTTTGGGATTTGGGATCCTTCGCGGCTGGCAGCACATCGGAATGGAAGGCCGAAAGCATGCTGCCCAGCAACTGTCGTGCCCGAAGGGCAGCTCTTGGAAGCGATGCTGGAAGAGGTCCCGCTTCGCAGATCCTATGTGTGATTTGCTTGTTCAGCTGTCTGCTGCATTGCAGCCTCATAAAGTTCACCCCACATCTGGCGTACAACCCTCACACCTCACACCATGACACGAGAAGTGCCAGCGACTGCTAACAGTCGTGCTGTTCTTTGTTGGGGGGGACGCCTGTGTAGTCGGGGCAAGTACCCCCGTCAAGGTCCCGCACCTCCTGACTGCCTGGCCAATTATGGCCTCCCACCCTCTGGCGTGGCTGCAGCCGAGCCGCCTGCGGCGCCAAGGAATACTCGCTGGCTTCGAAATCGAAGACCAGCTCTCCTCGAGGAGTTGACGTGGACTTCCCTTGCCTCAAGCCATCCGCTGTCATGGTACACCGGATCAACCAAGGCTCACCGAGCACCCATTTTCTGGAAAGTCACTTCATCGCGGTTGCTTGTGAAGACTCCGGCTGGGACAGGGTCAGCTGTGGGCCATGGTTCACCTCAGCTCACCACGAATCATGTCTGCAGCGGGTCGATGTATGCACTATTTTGGAGGGATCTGAGACTTCAATTTCTGGTCCGGGTTGCTGCAACTTTGTGGTTGACCTGCCTCTGGTTGCTGCGGGTAAGAAGACTCCACTCGTACTCCTCGGGAAACAACAAGAGCGTTGACAGAGTTTGTGCAGCATCCCGGATGCTGCAAAAGAACGCAAGCTCCTGGTTTGGGTTCAGGCCCTGCACTGTTGCGCTCGCAAGACCTCCAATGGCTCTCACCTCGCTTTGGCTTCACAGCGAGAGGCTGGCAAGCATCACTTGTTCACTCCACCTTTCAGACTCAAAGCTGTCGGCGGCAAAGTGGCATACCCGAAGGGCTTGAAAATCTCGGTCCATCCCAGCAGCTTCACAGTGGATATCTCTCCCATTTTCTCCTTATTTCCAAGAGCCATAACGCAACTTCTCGAGCCTCGGGTTCATGCTGCGCCAGCCCTCAGTCCTCGTAGGTGACCTCGCGGCTCAACACTCGGGAGGCGTTGCCCTGGAAGTCGGATAAGCCTCCTGTGAGACAGAGTTCCGGTGCTCTGGAGGCAGTCAGGAGTTTCTGAGTTTCGATGCGCCGTTTCCTTGGTTGAAGAGGGCAGCAGAGAGCGTGAAGGACGGCGATATGCTCTCGGTCTGGGTCAGGAACTGCCTGGACTGAAGGCCGGCGCCACCGCTCCCCTCCCTCGGCTCCCTCTGCCTCCGCATCGTCGTCTTCCAGCAGTGGTCCGGATTCGCGACGAGGCAGCTCGCGTTCGAGGGCCTTCAACGGCTTGGGCTTCGCTTGGCTTCGAAGTGCCATGCGAGGCCGAGGGCGCCGCAGGGCATAGAGATCGCCGTCGATGCCAAACTCCCGTACCAAGCTGTCGCATCCGTTGAAGAGGCGGCAGGTTTGAGCTCCATGCGAGCTGCCTCAGAAGTCTCAGTCCCCGAAACCACAGCCAGGCAGCCAGAGCCAGTGCTGCAATTTGCTGTAAAGGTGCCGGTCCAGTAGAAGGCACAGTCCGCCTGAGCTCCACATATGTCCACATCTTCTCCGCGTAGTCCGCTGCAACGCTCCAAAGTCTCAGGACGCGGCGAAGTCTTTGCACCGCTCCTGGCAGTCCGCCTTCTCGAAGGCCTCGGCCTGGCCACGCTTTCAGCGCAGTCAGCAAAGCGCAAAGCAGCCGCGCGCCGCCCCGCAGGCGCCCTGCCTCCGTCTCAAAGTAGATGCCCCTCTTTCCCGGAAGGAGCTGCCTGGTGATGCGACAGCAACTGCATGCAACTGCCGCTCAACGCTCCACAAACGCTCCAGCCTGGAGGGGCACGCGAACTGGCCTTGAACAATGAGCAGCGGCGGGGGAATGAAGGCACCTTACAATGTCAGTAGTGTCCACCAGCCCATTGCAGAGGCAGCACCACAGGAGCCGCTACGCACAGCAGTAGTTGATGCCTGAGTCCGGAACCATCGCTGGCAGGAGGCAGGCCCTCTGCGACTAGAGCATTTGCAGGAAAGCCCAACCCCCAGCCAGGCGGAACGCAGTCGCAGGGGTGCAGCCAGTAGTCGTCCGGCTGGAGCGTCGTGGGATCGTCGAAGACGAGAGGATGAAGCACATCATCTTCCACTTCGTGGGTCAGTGGCTGTGGACATTCCAAGGTGGCCCAGTCCAGCGAGATGGTGAAGTCCTGGCCGGTGGTGTCTGTGGTGTTCTTCGTGCTGGGCACCCCTGGCTCCAGACAGAGCATCTCTTCACCGGCCAACTCGAAGTAGCCAAGCTTCGTGTCCACGTAGTCCGCCTCTGGTCTCGCCCTTTGCACCAACCAGCTTCCTGTCGCACACTGAGCGGTGGAACCAGTCGGCACACTGGCGAGATACATCACCTCCTGGGGGATCAAGCTGTCCTTCCGATAGACGGGGCCTCCGCGGTGGATGTCGTACTCGACGGGACAGTAGTCGCCTGCAACAACCCATTCAGGATGCTTCAACCGGATGCAGGTTGACAGGTCCGTGCAGTCTGTGACCTTGGCATAGGTCATCACGGAAGTCCCTTCCACATTGTTGATTCGATAGTGCTTGCAGGTGTCATCAGCATAGGTGAAATGAGAACAGACCTTCGATTGACGGCAGACCTGTCGACAGTGCGTCTCTTCAGTGGTATGCTCCTCCCAGATGACTTCGCCGACGATCCGCTCCTTCACCCAGCACTTGCTGTCCTTCACCTTGAAGACCATCTGAGTGAAGATGGGTTGGAAGTCTGTCCCTGGGAAAAGACCATACACACCGCAGTGCATTTGAAAGTTTTTCCGATGAGCCTGGTAGGCCGTTATCTCATCGAACATCTGGGCCATGCTCTCACCGGGCGCCAGCGCGATGCTCCCGTCGGGTGCAACTTCGAGAATCTGATGATTCTGCAAGAGGCCCACACCCCAATTGCGGTCGTAGGACCAAATCGGAATTCCAACGCTGCAAGAGATCACGAAAGAGGTGGGCTTGAGTCCCCCTGCACCTTCCTCGTATCCTTTGGGTGTCTTGAGCTTCAATGGTGGCAGCTGCTCGCCGACGACCACCTCTGCGTAGGAGGACTCGTAGACCAACTCTGGCCATGGTCGGGGTCGGATGGCCGCGAAAGTGGCAGTCCTCTTGGTGGTGTTGTCGGTGGCTGTCACCACGCAGACACCGCCATCCATGCCCGAGTAGTCCTCCCCTGCGTCAGTGACGGCGCCGACGGTTTGGGCACCGGCCTGAGACGAGGTGACGGTGCCGGAGGCATCGACGGAGAGCCACGGCTGTTCCGGCGCGCACACCATACTGAAATCTTGCAGTGTGCCGGAAGCAACAACAGGGTAGGATGACGTCTTCTGGGAGAAGACTAGAACAGCAGACGGGTAGGTCATATGTTCAGCGGTCACCGACACCTTCACCGTCTCCGAAAGCCCGACTCCCTGGTGTGCCGTGACCTCGCACTGCACAGAAAAGGCCTTGACGGGGCGAGCCATGGAGCCCTGGTAGGAAATCACACCAGTGTGGCCATCGAGCGTCAGGTTGTAGGCAGCCAAGTTGCACTCGCCATTCACTGAATACCTGGTAGCCGTTCGGGGCAGCGGCTCCAAATAGATCGGGACACCTACTGCAAATCGCTTGTCTGCATACTTGAATGGCGTTGGGCTCTTGTGCCCACCCTTGCACTTGCAGCAAGCCTGAATGCTGCTCTGGCCGTTCACGGGCCTGTCGTTGCAGTCCTCCTCCTTGATCCGGTCGCAAGATTCCCCATTCTCGTTGACCCAGTCGATGGTGCTGAGGCAGGCCACACATGTACCGTTTTGACGGAGGTAACCATCCTCGCACTTCTGGCATTTCCCGGCCGAGAAGACGGCGCAACCTGCGCAATCCGTGGAGTTGCTGGGGCAGCCTCAGTTGAAGCTACTCGAATGCGAACGAATGGCTGCGCGAGATGCGAGTCAGCTAAAATCAAGGCGAGTTTCAGCTCGTGGTGGTTGCGTTGTGAAAGAACTGCCACAGCGTGAGTTCTCCCGGACAGGGATCGCCATCGACTCGGATCACGTCTGCCCTTGCGACTTCCCGGAGCTGCTGGGTCACTTCCAGCGGCACCTTGGGAACCTGCGCTTTCGCCCTGCGGGATTTGTGCTTTCGGCACTGGGCAGCGAGTCGGTTGAGGCTGTTGTTAGCACCCAGCTCCTGCCAACAAGGACAAATCATGCTCGAATGCCTGAAATGCGTCGCATTCGAACGGTCTCCTGAAGTTGCAGGGCACCTTGCCAGCCCTCGCCCAAGATCGCAAGGTTCGACTCCGACTCCTCCTGCAGCCGGCCTGAGCTCACCGCGGAATGGCCACACCCATTCGCGGTTAGATTCTGCTGAGGTGCTGGGGTCCAGGTGCGCCTTGGCCTGGAGCAGGCCGGTGCCCGCAGGTCTCGAAACCTCCTCGCATTGGTCAATGTCGACCGCGCCTCGCAAAGCAATCCAAAGCAATCTGCAGTCTGCCGCTCCCAGCCCCACATGAAGCAACCAGGGCACCCCCTCGCAGCCAACATAGCACGGTAAAGAAGCAAAATTGCCCACGTATGGGCAGCATCGGTATGTGCCCCGGCGCAGCACCTGTCAAGGATCAGAGGTGTCAGGGCCTGTCGGGATGTCTTGCTGGTGCGACCTCTGCGCTGAGGCCAGCGATGCCGAGTCACGAAACTCCGCATCAACTTTGAGAGCCAATTTGGGCTTCGGACGCGCAACAGGTGCGATTGGGACCAGGGCTTCGTGAAGCCCTTTCTCCGGTTCTCCCTCGTGCCTCTGCATGACGATACCACGACGACCAGGACGATCACGACAACACAGAGCTACAGAAGACGCGGCAAGAACAGCCCCAACAATAGGCGCACATTGGCATCACTCGTTCTCTCGTGTCGAAATCTGACGCCAACTGTTTCAATTGTTCAGGTGCAAGTTTATGCATCCAGTGACTGTTTCTCCACGCACCGCACAGAAGGTTGGCAGTGGCACGGTCTTGTTGCCGCTTCTCTCCTTTGGAGGAACTTCCTAGGCCTAGAAACCACCTCCAGCGCCCTGCCTCACAGCAGGCTTGAGCAAAGAACCTCACGCACCATCTCAAACCGAAAGAACTCATTGCAAGTTCTGATGCAAACTGGCTCTGGCCTCTACTCATTGACCGCTGCAGCTGCTCGGCGCATTAGCGCCGATGCCTCGAGCTGCGCAGCTGCATGCTCGATCGGCCATCAATCACGGATTCGAGCGCTAGGCCGCATCGGAGGTCACATGCTTCCGCGAGTCTGCAAACTGCCCTGCAGACGAGTCGTGCGAGCGCCTGACTCCGCCGCATGTGGGGGACGCGCGGTACGTGGCGGTGCCTGGGTCCCTTGGCTTCGGCTCCTTCGGCTCTTTCGTTCGCTCGCGAAGGCGCCGGCCGGACTCGACCTGAGGAGCAAAAAATCCGAAAAAGCTCAAGGAGCCCCGGCCCGGGCCGTGCTGTTTTGACAGGTCTCAGGTCGGGCTCGTCGCGCTGAGCGAACGTGCGAACGTCTTAGGCTCGAGCTCGCTCCTCAACCGACCGGGCGCCCAAGCCTGAGTCGCTGCACCGCTCGGTGCATGATGTGACTCTCCTTTAAAGCGCTGCAAGGGCCGAAGGAAAGCTTCCAGAAAGACTTGATCACAGAGCACCTCCCGCCGAGAGCCCTGCTGCCGTCGGTGTGTGGCCGCAGGCCTGTTCAAGTCCAACATTCCGCCCATAGGAAAGCAAGTTCTGATGCAAAGCCCCATATGCCGAGGCATCTGCAAGCGCCGCCGAAAAGGAAATGCGAAGACGGGCCTTTGTTCAACGGCAACATGATGTCTCTGACCGGACAAACACCAGAGAAACTGGTGACGGGCGTTCACTTTCCAAGGGCTCATTCTCATCGTCCTTCGCGGGCTCTTGGTCGCTACACCTGCCCAGTGCCATTGTGTGAGACAAAAACATGTTGAAAAGCCCACAAAGCCACCCTTTTGGCGTTCCCGACCAAGCCGATGTGGCAGTTCGCCTAGGTATTGGGTGGCACCGCTTCCGTACTTCGCTTCGCTGAGCACTGGTTGATGCCCATGCTTGTGTCATGCCAGTCTGCCTGAGCGTCGCGGGAGAAAGTTCTGCACGGGAGAGTTTCGTGAGAAATTTGTGCATAGGAAACGAACGAACACAGAGTTGACGTTGAAACTGACAGCCTTCCTGCGCCCTGGAACACGGACACTTGATCTGAGACTGAGAAGTTGAGAAACATAACTGGAGGACAAACAGACAAAACACTTCCTCTGCTTCTGCATTTAACAACACTTGCAAGGACTTTGCATTTAGCAAAACTTGCGACTTCCGCCAAGTGCTGGTGTTGCTTTTGGAGAAACGATGCAATGCTCTCGGCATCAAGGTCTGAGATCCTCGCAGTCCACGGAAGTGAGCAAAGATGTCGAAACCAACATCTGGACGGCTTGCAACGTCAAATGTGTATGAAACGAATGCATCCTTTCAGTCCCAGAAGTGTACGCATTTCATCGCACAGTCCGCCGGCTTGTCGCCCGGCAAACACTAATATGGTCAAGGCCCCCCGAACAATCAACAACCGAGCACTCCTGCCTTCTGTCAGTCGGTGGCAAGGAGTATCTTCAGGACTATCCAATGCTGATTCCTCAGGGCTCGGAATATGAACCGACGATCAACTCATCAAGTCTCCTTCTGGGATTCTATGCCAACCAAGGCAACTGCCACTGGAGTTCCCTGCTCCTTCAGCGCTCTGGTCAAATCCTTCAAAATCAAGCACACGTCATGTGCATAGAGCTCCCGCTGAGTATAGATCAGTGCGAGTCACCCGCAAAACAAGGCACGCTCCTCACTGAATTTGGCGAGGGCCATGAACGCCGCAGCTTATGTGCAAGCGCGCAACCCATCAGCATGCCCTGATGGCAGGCGACAGATGAACAACTTTCGTCAAGAAACGAACACAGCTGCTCATGCACCTCGAACCATCGGGCTGCAAGCGATCCAAGTCTTTGATGCTGACACGCGGCACACAACTGCATCTTTTGGCTTGTCGCATTCGATAAAACTGCCACGACCGTATGATCAGATGCCAACATTCCAGCATCTTGTAACACTGTTCAACAAACTGCAGAACTTTGGTTTCCACAAACTCCGGCATGATGGTGCTGCACGTCCGTCAGTAAAGAATGTTCTTGCAAGGTCTCCCGAACATCAACCAAAATCTCGTGTAAAATGCGAAGTTACTTAACTGTCCAGTTGATACAACAAACAATCACACAGAATGTGTGGGCATGTCGGACATGCCACGAATTTATAATTCGGCATGTGGACATTCATCAGCGCTCTGGATTTGCATGTCCATGAAGACAACCACCTTTCAACTAACACTTCAACCGCGGACATCCTTCCGTTTGCTGCTTGACGTGTGTTGAACAGATATCATGGGCGTGCAAGAATGGAAGCACACCAGTTATTGTGCATTTTCAATGTCCACGCACAGACACACACAGGCACAAAAACAGCCACATAGACATACGGAGACGCATAGAAGCATGCAGAGACACGTGCACGGCGTGTGCAACTTGGATGTTCACAGCAACTAAATGTTTTTCGGCACGTTTGCTCAGTGTTTCAAAAGGCCCACAACAGTTCAGCTTTCTGACTTTGGAACAGTCCGCTGCGTGCTTTGGATTTAAGCGGCATCAGAAACTGAAAGCAAACTGAAGAACCTCTTTCAGCGATTTTGTGTGGATCTTCTTTCGTGTTGGAACTCTTACTTTCAGTCGACTTTCTTGCTTTGTCTTTCGCTCCAATGACTTCTCCTATTCGCGTTTAAACCCTCAAAGCGATTTCATCCAGGCTTTCTTCTTGCGTATTCGTAGAGAGATTTCTGTTAAGAAGTCTTGATTCAAACTCCAGGTTTGGAGAAGTCAAAATTTGAACACAAAGTATGAATGAGTGAGATCCAACTCAGGCTCCGCAATCTGCGCAATGGCCGCACAAGAGTTTCAATCTCAGAAGATCTCCCAAAAGATGGACACGATGTTTTGGCCCAAAACCTAGGTTCCAGAAAGGTGCAGAGGAAAGACCATGTGATCAGAACTCAGGGTTGAACCCTGCGTTCGAACTTTATTGTCTTTTGGTTGGCACATCTGTTCGTCACAACCATTTGTGGATTCGACTGCGTCGGTTCAGATCATCTGTAGGCATAAAACTCCAAAAGTTGGATTCGGAAGGGCTTCCACTTCAACGATCTATGCCCACGAAGTCTATAAAATTGAGTGCGGCAGCCGCTCTCAACGACTGCTTAACGGCTCAAACCAAATCCAAAAAGAAAGAACTGGTGCAATTTGAAGCAACAAATTCGTTACTCTTTGCGACGTCTTGGTAAATCAACAATGAAGTCAAAACGCCTCAGCGGCCCTACAAAGTCGCGCGGGGCAGCTGAAACTGCATTGCTCGATGCGACAGCAAAACTCTGCAAGCATTTTGATGCCAACGACTGCGTTGTTCAAGTGCTTTTGTAGCGAAAGACTTCGCCTACAAATCTGTTTTTTTGGCTCAAGGGGCCTACTGGCTCCAATCAGGTTGTTGTGTTGCTGGATTGGCGAGACTTGGTGGAGGACTCAGAATGGGTAATGCAGCCTCGAACGGCTCAAATGTGGACTTTGAATGCACTCTTAAAAGAAAATGGAAACACTGGCCGAAGATTTTTTTTTGGCGTGGGCGGGCCTCACAGACAGCAGTTGCTGCACTCGGTCCCAGTAAGAACTACAAGAACACCAAGAATACAATAAAGAGCTGTACACTAGAATCATGTCAGGTGAAACAGGCCGCGACTTGCAGACTTAGCCAGCAGGGATCATTCGGCCTTTCAGAGCGTAGCTTCTCTCAGTTGTCCTTTTCCAGAAGGAGCAGTGTTAAACGGGCATCCACCATCCAGCACGCTCCATGGCAGGTGTGTAGCGAAGGAGCTGCCCAGCTTCACAGTAGCGTGGGTCTCGCAAGGGAGAGCAGCGAGGTGGAGAAGCGTGCTGCTGCCGTGTGCCCGTCGTGCATAGCCATCAGCTGTGTATAAGTCCTGAGCGAAGATGGAAAGACGCGTACCATTGTCCCAACCAACAACACCGCACTTGAGCAGGCCCAACTTCCCAACATGTGGGTCTCGCAAGGGCGGCACAGTGCGAGCACAATGTGACAAAGGAGCCGCAATGAGGGCAAACCAGCCAAGTCTTAGCCCAGCTGTCAAACCAGGCCCAGCTTCCCAACGGTGGGCATCGCAAGGGTCAATAAAGCACTGCACTTCGGTCCAGGCCCAGCTTCCCAACATTGTGGGTCTCGCAAGGGCAGCACAGTAGAACGCAATTGAGCCGAGTAACCACAAGTGTGGGCATCGCAAGGGTCAATGGATGGCAGGGGCACGAAGGATGTGCTCCTCAGGAAATGACGGGGCTCAGATCATTGCAAAATTGCCCACGCTCAACTTTCCGTGTTGATAAGCCTCGCACTGTACGTGCAGCAGAGGCAGGCCGTAACGGTCATCATTCACGTTGTATGGCATACGCAAGGGCCCAGCTTCCCAGGAGTGGGTATCGCAAGGGCCAAGACGAGAGACAGATGCACAGAGTGAGATCACCAAAGAGAAGGGAATACCAGAGCCACATATTAACTCTGCCCAGCTTCCCACCTGAGCGGGTGTCGCAAGGGCAAGGGCTAAACAGAGCCTGAATCATCCCGGTTGTAAGTGCTGCAGACCGGTATAGCGGCGGTCGCAGCCGCGCAAGCGGGAGCTCGCACATCGGTTCCATGGAAAAGTACGGCACTCCCCACAGCGCAGGACACGCAAAAAACCAGGGTTGCGAGTCAATAAGCGCAGATTGCAGGTCAGCAGTGCGTAGGAAGTCCGCCCCCACGTAAAGACGATTGACCGTCCAGTATGCGAGGCGGGACACTGAAGGAATCGTCACCACAGTCTCCAGGTCAATCTGCACAACGGTAGTGCGTACTTGAATGCCAAGTCGCACAGCCACTTGGAAATCAGTCGATATCCGGAAACTATAGAAACTGAGCCGTGCCAAGTAGGCAGAGACACGGCGACGATATTCCGCGTAGAGCTGACGGAGCACGAGGCCAGCAGCCCTGCGCTCCTGTGAACCAATGGCGCGGAGTAATTGCCGGGTAGCAGCTGACGGCGGGGCTCCAAAGAGCACCAGTATCGACTGTACGGAAGCACAGAGGACAATCGGTGCAGCAAGATGCTCCGGCAGCGTGGCCATGGCTTGTCACTAACATCGCAACTCCGACCAGAGAACCCTGCGAAAGTATGTGGGGTCATCCATATGTGTGTCATTAAGGGTGTATAAGAACGTCCACTCGCCCGCATCCTGGCGTCGGATCAGCTGCTGTCGGGTGTAGAAGTAAGTATGCGATGCCTTATGGTAGTTGGGCACCAGCCGGAAGCCCAAGAACTGATATCCTAGACCACTCGCAAGTCCTCCCAGGGCCACGAACTGCCTAGCAGCCGCAACCCAGTCATCAATACGGAGATTCTGGCCAAGGGTGTGTGACGGATAGTCCATGCGGAGGCCCATGGGAACATCGGCAAAGTTTCGCCTAATGGTCTCCGCATGCCGGCCAGTCACGGTATTGACTCCCCAGTAAGTAAAAGCGTTCGGGGTAGTACATAGTGATCCGCTTAAGGGTCCAGGTAGCCAAACCGCCAGAGCTGCGTGCAGGTCGTAGCCATCCTGCTGTGTCCACTGTCCAACTCTGGCCAATGCACTGGACAGCAGGCCAGCAGGCTGCAGACTAAGCTCTGCCGCCGGTCGGAGACCCAGGGCCTCCTCCGAAAGCGGGAGGTATATACGAAAGCGACCCTGATAGATCGACGGATGAGTAAAGATGTCCGGGTTCACGTGGGGATGGTGAAGTGCAACAACTCCATTCTCCCAGCTATGCCGTATCCGAGCCCCAATCTGCAATTGCAGCGGACAGATGTCACCCGCCGAAAATGTGGCCGGGTCGTTGTCACGGAATGCCTCAATCACCTCTAAGTGCGGGTAGGCCTGCGGCTGATCGACGAGACGGCGTACCACAAACAGCAGCACCTGACCTGGATGGATGGGTAGCAGGGCACTGCAATATTGCAGTGGGGAAATGCGTCTGCCAGGGCCGCCCAGGGCCATGACGATAAATTTAAGCTGCCATCCCGGGCCATGGTGGTGTCCAGCGTAGCCTGATCTGCATGCTGCCACTGAGCGACAATCTCATCGACCAGTAGCCACCACCACACTTGAGGCCGCGCGAGTTCGCGCCAACACAAGTCATATGCCTTATCCTCCGCCAAGTGTTGAAGAGGCTCGCACAACTCGGCTAAGGCAGCACTGATGGCAATCATGGATTGACGCAGAGCCGCCAGGCCTCCTCCTCAGAGCAGCATCGCAGCCGCATGGCTCTGTCCGCGAAACTGCAAATGGCAAAGCCGAACTGATCGACGTTTACCCGGAGCGACCCTGCGGCGAAAGACATCGGGAGTGACAGGAGCGGCAGTCCACCTGTGAGGGCAGTATGTAGCGCAAGTGATCGACATGTGCCCCGGCCGTTGGTTCAGGCGGCAGAGGAGCACCCGCCCTTTCTCGCCACTCTTGGAGGATGGCCCGTTGGACCGTTTGCGTAGAGGGGTCGTCGGTGGCCGCAACGTTACTAGTGAGTCCCGTCAGAGCAAGGCGATAGCGAGTGGGCTGTGCGTCCACAGCTCGGAGCAATGCATTTAGATCCTCCTGCCAGTCCGTGGGCTGGAAAACGCGGGGGCAGCCCACGCTATAGGGCTCGTCCGCAAACTGTGGGTCCTCCTGGACACCCGCGCCAGCACTGACGGCGCGTTGAAGGATAGCCTGCCCCCGCTTGTCATACCCAGCGTCCGCTAATCCACAGGAGAGAGTGCAAGCATCACTAAACCGGAAAGTGGCCAAACAGGTGGGTCCCACCAGCGCGCGCAACCTGTACCGTAGGTAGGTCATGAACTCCTGCGTGGTGTGGCCGGTGGCAATGTGAGCCAAATAGTAGCTGCCCGGGAGTGAGGCCACCGCCCACATCGTATCATGTGAATCAATAGTTTGCTCCGTGGATTCAGGCGAGACCCTCATGCGCCCCTTGATGCTGCGGGCATGCGGGTCGGCAAAGGCTGCGTACAGCCGAGCAGGGGGACGCAGCCCCCGCCCCTGCCAATCCCGCAATCCGTACAGTTGGAGGCTTTGACCTTCGTCGTCCACATCAATCTAAAGTCACAGCGAAGGGATCGGTGGTATCGAAGAGGGGGTAGAAGTAGGTGGACTCCTGGGGCCGGCCATGTCTGCCCGTCAGGGCCTGTTCGGGCCCTCGCAGGTGTAGTTGAGCTCTGTGGCGGCCACCTGTTTTGTCAAAGACAACGACCAAAAGGGCCGTGGCATCCACTAATGGCGGGAACGACGAAATGTGCCATTGTCGATGGAAGGCCCGCGCCATGGCCTGGTCATCCCTACAGTCCGGGGGGAGGCCTCTGCGAGTGCTGGTGTCTTGCCACTGTATCAGGGAGCCCTGTAGCGGCGCGTGCCCAGAACTTCCAAAAGTGCTTAAATGGTTTTACGCATTGTTGTGGCGTTGCAATTTAAGCTATATATGGTGTTTTAAGCATTAACAAAAACATTGTTTATTTAAAGAAAAACCTTGCTTATTTAAAACCCATGATTAAAAACCATGTCGATGCAAATCGCGATCCCTCATGTTGCAGCATGCATGCAAACCAGGCGTTTTTTTCAAGTCGCTTCCGTCAAGCGAGGAACTTTGTTGGCAGCCATAAACCTTAGGAGTACGGCTTTCGAGACGGCCTTCATACTGAATTTTCCGCCTCGACGAGCAGCCAAGATCGCCAAGGTATGTCCGAAAGACTCATCCCTGTAGGTCCAGAAAACTGCAGGGCTCGTACCTTCTTCGGATTCATCTCGGCTGCACTCCAAGAGCATGTGCGCTTTCGGCTTCAGACGAAACAACATATCCACCTGGAAGAACTCCTCCAAGGAGCTCATGAGCAGCAAAAACTTGGACGTTCTTCTGGAAATCCTCTACATTCCAAGTCGCCGAGGACAAACCACTATAGATCGCTTGCAACGCCTCTGCAGCTCTGATCATAGTTGCCTCTTGCTCTTTGCTGTCGTCCAGGTGCTTCCTCGCCAGCTCGACCATGCAGGGAACCAAACTGCTGGCCTCTCCAGCCTTAGCCCTGAGCTTTGGCACTTTGATTTTCCCCTTATCGTCCGCCCTCAGCATCGTCGGCAAAAAGCTTGGGAAGTCTGTCCTGGGTGCTGTTCCTTTCATAAAAACTGTGGATGTCCTCATACAGCTTTGCACATCGCTTCAGAATTGACTGGCCACGAATTCGTTCAGCCTGAATGTAATATAAAAGTGAACCCATGAAGTCGATCGTTATGCCCAAATCTGCAGCATGCAGAAAGTCCACTTTGCAATTTTCCGTGCCAAATCCAGGAATCGAGAACAGCTTGGAAATAAACTTGTCTTCTTGCTGCTGCCGCACGAAAAATCCATGCTCGAGATCAAGGGATACCTGTGGGTGCCGATATGCTGGCCAATAAAAAGTGGAGCCCTATATAGTTATAAATGTTTATTATTTCCCAAGGAGCTCTGCTTTATTTCAGTAGACGATTCCACTCACAGTATTCCCAAGCTATATGGGAAAATCAAAGTATATATATAGAATAAGAAATTGCTCAGGCAGAAGTCGCTTTTTCCTTCCGGCAAAGCCGAAGGGGGAAGTCGTGACATCCCCGCACCGATCGATGGCGAACACGAGGATCGCCAACGAACACCCCGGGAGTGGAGGGAGGGACAAAAATTTCTGGCCCTTTGGCCAGGGAGTAGCTACCCACCCATCCCACCCCTGTCTCGAGGCGGCGCGGGAAATTAAAGATATAAACTCGGACGATTCAAAGCATGCTTTCATGCCATGATATGTGGTTCAAAAATAAAGCAAAGACGTTTTTTGAAAACTTCGCAAAATTTTCAAAACTCTCCTAGGAAAATAAAGCTGATAGAGGCAAGCCTCATGTGTCGCTTATTTCCCAAGGAGCTTTGCTTTATTTCAGTAGACGATTCCACTCACAGTATTCCCAAGCTATATGGGAAAATCAAAGTATATATAAAGAATAAGAAAATTGCTCAGGCAGAAGTCGCTTTTTCCTTCCGGCAAAGCCGAAGGGGGAAGTCGTGACATCCCCGCACCCGATCGATGGCGAACACGAGGATCGCCAACGAACACCCCATTCACTTAAGAAGGAGATCAATCGTGGCATTGCCATTGATCGGGCATCGAGGCGACACTCTGCACACTTGCCCCCTGACTGGAAATATCGCCTTGGCACGTGAAGGAGGATCGGCCGGATTGCTTGCACTTGGAACGCGGCTAAACCAAGGGAGCATCGCCTCAGCGTCGCAACTCTCAAAGATCAGCAAGAGCTGCCTCCATAAAGGGTCTTTAGAAGAGCCTTTCACCAAGGAGGCCAACACTCCGGAGTGATCCACATACATGGTCACCCTTTGCATGTTCAAGTGCTTCGACCAAGCTTCTCTCGCACATACGACTGCGTACATCTCAACTGGGCCTATCAGATGCCTTTTCCCGAGAGCCTCCCAGCTCTGTACAACGCTCAAAGGGATAGCACATGCAAAGTAGAAAGTGCACCACGCTCCATTGTCGTAATGGTACAAGACTCCTCCGACAGTAGCAGGGTAAGAACCATTCGTCGGCTCGTAAGCGCCATCCGTGAAAATCACAGAACGGCGAGACCCCACACAGGCCGGGACTATCCTAGGGGTACCCCCAAGAACCCGGGTCCTAAGATGGCGAAGGGCCTGCACAGCTGTGGCATCGAGGGCCTGAGCCTGAGAGCTCATCGTGCACGCTCTGAGGTCGGCCAGAGCTAATCTTCCCAGCCGCCCGTGCAGCTGACCTTCAGCAAACTGGATGCGACCGAACAAAGAAGGCAGAGTCTTCGGATCAAGACGTCCCTCGCTCAAGACGGAGTCCACCGCGGCAGCAATGGAAGCAGCACGATCAGGCTTGTTCCCAATCTTAACTACCCCGAAAGTGCCTAGGTCAACCCTAACACCCAGTAGCTCGGCTTCATGGCTGAAAGGAAGGTCCTTATCCTCTGCCCATGAGAAGCCCAGCAGGTCCAAAGCAGCTTTGATGGTCGACTGCGTGTTGTTGCAAAGTGGCAAGACCTCCAACACTGGGTAATCATCAAAGTAGTTGCAAGCCAGCACCTGCAACGTGATCAGAACCCTCTGGATCAATCTTGCAACGCGGTTGAACGAAACCACCGAAGAGGTGGCTCCAAACAAACGAGTTCGGCTCTCGAAGCCGAAAGGAAGGCCCGAAACCGGGTCCTTGATGGTCACTATGCTCAGACAACGATCTCGTGGCGAGACCGCCAACTGTTTATAAGCACTTTTCAAATCCACTGTTTTCAAGCTCGGCTGAAGCGCCTCGGGCTTCAGGGCCTCGAGAAGGAATGCACAGGAAAGCGAAGATGTTCACCGTCCGACAAAGGAATGCTCACCTCGCCTTTCGCCATGAAGATCTTGAAAAGGGTGATCGCAAGCCACACCAATTCATCAAGGGCTCTCAGAGCAATCCGGTCGGAGACGGCATAAGCGCGGTTGACCGAGTTCTCGGCCACGTCATCGATCGATCGCGTCTTGGCCTTTTGCACGATGCCGAACCTCCGCACTGGAAGCCATCCTTCGGGGTGACGGGCTTGCAGCTCGTCCCACGAGTAAGGCCCCGTCAGCCACTCCTTGACTAGCATCTCTTGTTGTGTGGAATCCCACACTTCCCGAGCCAGATCATCCACCTCTGCGCTCGCCACCTTCACCCACAGCGCCGGCTTAAGAAACTTGGCATGCTGCACAAGCTCTGCACGCGTCATCAGAGCCGGCTTTCTATCTACATCGAAAATGCCGGAAGGGCTCGACTCCCCGACCAAAGGAAACCCATGCTTAAGGTGTTCAAACACTTCAGTGTCAGGCCAACCGAAAGTTGATGCGATCTTTTCCAGAAGCAAAATATTCTTGCCTTTCATCACAGATGCCACACCAGGATCCATGGCAGCATGAAGCTCGGCTTCGGCACTTGACAACTCACGCTTCCAAGAAGTCCACTGCTGGAGCAGATTCAGACGGCGTTTCATCACGCCAACCGGACCCTCTTTCAAGGTAAAAGCCAAGGCTCTCAGCATGAAGTCCGGGACTGCCACGCACAAGTCGAAGGGATGATCGATATGCAAAGCCTGCGCCACAAACTCATGTTCCGTGCTGTAAATGCCAAAAGTAACTGACGAAGGCACACCTGACAGGCTTCCGACCTGCTTCGCACCGACAACCCCCCGATCACACACAATGCGAAGAAGGCGGGAGCCAGGAGGGATTGACCCTATGGCACATTTAAGATTACCTTTATCATCCAAAGGAAGAGGCCACGGGAATTCACGGACCGTGGCTTGGCACTTAAATTCGGCGATCTGTGGCTGGAATTTTGACAATCGAGGCTGTCGCCCCGCGGCAGCGGCTGCAGAATGACGCGAGCATTGCAGCGGAACAGCGTGTTCAAGTAAGAGGCCTGCCTGGCCGACCGACAGCTGCAAGAGGCCAGCGAAAACATCACAGAATTTCGGTGTGTACAAGGAATCTGGCGCAAGCGAGCCCGCAGCATGGGGCATTTGGCGACAGCGGCACACTGGTATGCGCATGCCTGCCAGCGCGGGCTGGGTTGTACACATGCGCATCTTTACCGGGCTGGGAGCCCCGTAGCACAAAATTCGAGGCAGTGCACCGCATCGGGCAAGTCCAGCTGGCCCCACAGGGCTGACGCCAGGGGATGCAAGATACTCCAATGCAAGTCAGACGCGAGCAAGAGCTTGGCGAGGCGTAGGGTTTGCACTGCGTCGAAAGTAGCCTTAAAACAATCCTTAGTCGCCGGGAAGAAATGCACATGAAAAGGGGCGTCTTGGCCAATGACAGTCTGCGCAAAGGAGAAACCCGATTCAGTTTCGATGTCCACCGGGACCAGGTGGATGTGCACCCGCCCGGCAGGGCGCGAGTGTTCAAGCGCCATGACTTGGAATCCATCTCGCCGCACACGAGCAGCTAGCAAACCGGAACCACACTTTATTTCAACATAGAGAGCAGAACCAGGCTTTAAAGGACTACCAGGGCCGCTATTAGGTTCCTTAGGGCCAACGGTGGGTGCAACCGAAGCGGGCAAAGGCCTAAACGACACCTGAGCTCCATTAGAGGGCGAGGAAGGCCGCTGACGACCACACACTTGGGCAGGCGCCAAACGCGCGCTCTCAGGCGCGCATGTCGGAACATCAACATTGCACTTCCGGAGAAAATCAAGATGTTCCTTGCACAGAGATTCAACATGGCGGATTGTGTATGCTATCAGCACGACCCTCCGGCCTTGCCAAGCCTCAGTGTAGTGCCAATAATGTCTTGCATTGAATCGCACGGGGCCCGCTGCAACAGCCAGGCGAGAACCCTGGGCACCATTGAGGGACGAAACATCCTGGCCATCTTCGTGCTCTACAAAGATGGCGCCACCTGAGAATTCTGTTAGGGCAATCGCCAGGTTATGCAAATTTGCATTCCACTGATCGCGGTGACGCTCAGTGCGAACATCCTCGAATATATTTATTGAAGAAAATTTGAACCCCGGAACGCTCTGCCTCACAAACCTTGCAAAGATGTCGAGCGCTTCTGGGCTAGTTGAGGCATTAGCCTTCAAACCCACATTGCCCCCAAGAACATACGCTCCTGTGGCATAAGACTTCGAAGTTGGGAGAGGCGCACTGGCACCCCTCTTTAAGTCATCCGAAGGAAGACCATCGAAAACTCGAAGAACATCAGCGGCACTCACATGACCCTCGTCAAGTGAAGAACTCGCTTTGCCGCTCTGTGGCCCCGCACCATCACGATGCTTCGGGGACCTGCTGCGTGCGGCCTCCACCACACTCGGCGAGGGCCCAGCGATGGCACTGTACGAGCCAACGTTGTGCTCGTGATGATCCTCTCGATCAACACTCGGAGGTGGGCGACAATCCACACCTTTCGTTGGACAGCCCCCCGTGCATGCATCTTTCGGCCGATGAACTCCTTCTCGGAGATCATCCACCTGCGAGGCCTCCGCTGCCGGCTGATGCACACTCTCTGGAGCACCGGCCATCAGCGAGGCACCCTCGAGACCCGATAGTTAGTCACGAGCCCCCTTGCGCCCGCTTTGGGCACTGCGCTGCACCATGGTTATGAGCACCGCACTTAGGCACTGCACAGACGTGCAAGCCTTTCTCGCACTTCTGCCCCTTCGTCGAGCAGCCACCCAGGTTGAAGGCAAAGCAGATTGGGTCCCCACGATTAGTGTGGGACCTGCAGCCTTCCAAGCCGGCGGGCAACCTTGTCATGAACCTCTGCTTACCTTTCTTTCCTTTGCCCCCACCTTTGCTGTAAGGAGAAGGCCTCTCCCACTTGGGAGCATCCGGCTTCTGGGGAGCGTCCTTCATGGAAGGGGCCGGAAAAGGCTGCAATAGGCATGACACCTCGTTCATGTACATCGCATCCGGCAGGAGTGAGTCCAACGGGCGTCCCGATGCGACGGTCTGCACACCTGCCCTGGTCTTGTCACGTAGCTCGGCAAACAGCTGCCGGTCCGCCGACTCAAGCTGCTTCCAAGTGGGCCTGGCAAAATGCTCCGCAGGCGCTTGCATGCGAGCCTTCATCAAGCGCTGAGTCCATTGGTCAGCAACACTGAACTCGATCAGGTTCGCCTGATCCATGGCCAGAGCTCTCCTGGTGAGAGCCTGCTGAACAAGAATCTCTGAAGAGGTATCCGCAACCAGATCAGGCTGTTTATGCTCGATCCGAAGCTTGCCCGAAGACTCCTCAACAGTGAACCTGACATCACGTCATCACGTTTCTTCTCGCCAGCCAATTCAGCTTCCTTAGACACACACCGGTCCCACGGAATGTACCTCAGCTCATTGGCCTCATAGGAAGCCGCAGCAAGGTCGACAAGTGCGTCGGCAGGCTCCAAAGGCCCTTTAAGCGATATCCCGACAAGCTTCTTGGCCTGCCGCTCGTACCGCTCCGACCTCTCAGGCTGAGACAAAGGCCTGACGGTCGACTCAGGGTCGGCCTTCTCAATCCTCTGCTTCATTTCCGCGGTCACAATGGCAAAAGCCTCATTGTAAACCGCACGCCACTTCGCCTTGTCTGCAATTGTCAGGTCTCGCGTCAAGATGTCCTTTAACACCTGCATCAACGGCCCCTCGTCAGTCTGACCGGGGGTGAAAGAAGAAATGAAAGCCAGCCTCCTCAAGTTTCCCACCTCTGGCAGAATTTTCTGAACGTCAGCTTCCGCGAAACCCACGACGCTCAATCGTGACTGCAGAACCGATTGACTCTCAGAGTAGTTCGCCATCTTCAGGAGCAGGAACCGGGCTAGTAATACTCCTACAAGTCACATGCTGAATGTTCTCAGAGCACTCCCGAATCCGCACCTCGTGGCCTGGACTCTGACTTACCAGGTTAAGCACAGACTTCCTAAGACTGAGCCGACTCCTCACGAACGCGATGCTTGCTTCTGACTGATGCAGGTCACTCGAAAACTACAAATCGCACACACTCCTGGAAGCACTCAGCCTAAGCGCGTAACGCCCCAGACACTCAGAAGCTCCTTTTCACTGCATCTCCTCAGCATCACTTCTTAGGTGGGCAACAGCTTCTACACAGCGGAAACAAAATTCGAGGGACGGAGGACAACCTTTCATACCTGGTCGAGATGTTTCTCCCACATCTGAACTTGTCGCCTTCTTCGGACGCGACAGCATGAATGAAACGGCTGTCCCTGTTCCTGAACAAAGGGACTGCTTCAAGCTCGGCACGCAAGCCTGCATCGGGCTCCCATTGCCTTCCCAACTCGTCGGTGGCCGCCTCCGCAGCTACATGATCGACATCCTCGGCATCCTCGCTGGCCTCGGAAGAAGAATCCGACAGAACCTCGTCAGGAGGAATGGGCATCCCCTCTGGATCTTCAAAGCGCTTCACGAAGTAACCGGACCTGGTGGCATCCGGCATGAACCTTTCGCGTGACACTTCGAGCAGAACCCCTTGCAGCTGGCGCACAGGAGCAGACATGTTGTCTCTCCCATAGATGAGCTCGGTTCCATCACGGCCCCTGGCGTGATAGCCAAGGGCCGCTCTCACCTCGCGGGGTAATCCGAATTTGGCGCTCCAACTCAAGGTCGTTGCCTTGAGACTATGCGTCCCAAGCGGTTCAACGGAAGACCTGTCGCAACCTGCACGGATCAAGAGTGACTTCATCCATTTCGTGGCACTCGCCACCGCCAACGGCGACGTTTGCCACCCTCCGCCAGAGAGCGGACTCGGAAGCAAAGGCTTACCCGACCCCAAAGGAGGCCCATGCTCCTTGTAGAACTCAAACCACTTGACACCCCAGGGCACCTCGCCTATTCCTTGGATGGGAGCAAACATGTGCAAATACCTGACCTTTCTTTCCAGTGAGAACGAAGTCTTGCTTCGCTCTGTGCCGTCTGGCGTATCGCTCAAGTCGCAAGTCATTGCACCCGCAGCTTGGGCATCCGAGTACCTCGCTCGTGCATACAAGGTCCACACGAAGAAGCCAGCAGCGACCCGGTCTGAAGGTTCGAGCACGATTGAGCCGGAGGCGATGGCCTCCAACTTGCGCACATGATCAACTTTGAGCGACGGCTTTTGCCGAGTCTTCCTCTTTTCGAGATACAGCTTCGACGACAGTCCACGGACCCTAGGGCTGAAGACTTCATCACTCACCTTCAAGCTCACAGTGAACTTTGCAAAAGCGAGGCTGCTCAAGAAACTCCTGGCGAAAGTGGGCGCCTCGTGAGATGCATAATCCTGAAGGAAAGCATAGATCCCTGCTTCAGTGACAGGGAAAGGCAGGACCTGGCAACTTCGGCAGTGCTTGATGTACCTGGCAAGAGGCCCAGCACGACCCGAGATCGTGACGCTGGCCTTCTGAGAAAACACATCTTGCAAGGAAGACTTCAAGTCAGAGTCTCGCCCGTTCTCCTTATCTAACCGAATCGACAGAGAAAGACCAAAATCGTCAGGGAACCTTTCAAGAATCCCTAGCCACTTTGCCAAAGCTGCCTCCCTCGCCTCGGAGAGTTTCTGGTCCCAGCTTTGTCCCGGCACACTCGGAACCTTCACTCCTGCTAGCCTGAGTGACTCAAGCTTTCCCGAAGACGACTTCACCGGCCCTGCAGGACCGGCCGGCCCTACTGGCCTTGACACGATGCATCCCCCTTTGGCGAAAGGCGAGGGCAAGGCAGGCATGTCAAGAAATGTAGAAGCTATTTCCCACGGCATCCTAACTGCGCTTCCAAGCCCTCGGGATGCAACACGTGTAGACGACACATGGTGACTCTCATAAGCCCCAAGCACACGAGCCTTCTTGAGGCTACTTTCAAGAGAGTCACCTCCTGACATGCTGGCTGCAATCTCGGCCTTGTCAAGCCAGCATGGCACACGCTACACCCCAGTACAAAAATTTCTGGCCCTTTGGCCAGGGAGTAGCTACCCACCCATCCCACCCCTGTCTCGAGGCGGCGCGGGAAATTAAAGATATAAACTCGGACGATTCAAAGCATGCTTTCATGCCATGATATGTGGTTCAAAAATAAAGCAAAGACGTTTTTTGAAAACTTCGCAAGAATTTTCAAAACTCTCCTAGGAAAATAAAGCTGATAGAGGCAAGCCTCATGTGTCGCAACCCCTGCAAACCCGTTTACAAAAAAAAAAAAGAAAACATTAATGCTGGGCTGGCAACTTCTCCAAGGTCGAATCTCGAAAAACCTTGAGATCCTCCTTCCTGCAGTGGCACCTCCAACAGATGAAACCAGTGCTCGACCAGGAAGGAAAGTCCAATACATCTTTGTAGGCGCTCCAGTCTGCCCGGAGTTCTGCCAAACATGCCTTTAAGGCGATAGGCTGCAATTGCCGTTTCTTTCGATAAGTGTCGTCGGAATGCCATTCCGCACCGTCGTGCCTAGATGCGGGAAACTGGCCCAACATGCAACACCTAAAATCTAAAACTCCATCTCAGTACCTCGAATACGCATTCGTAGGTGTTCTTCTTGGAGTTGAACTCTTTAGGAAAGGCTGCAATCGGCATCCTCATGCTCGAATCGCAAAGGATATTCAGCACCACTGTTTCCAGACTTTGACTCCGGTCCGAGTTAAACGGTACCGAGTCCATCCACAACCCAGCGAGCAAAGGTTTGAGTGGCAGGGAACCCCAAATTGTGCACTTTATCCAAATGGATCTGCATATCGGGTCTGTTTCGCAAAAGCGAATCCTGCCTGGATATGAGATCCTCTGGCTCATTCGTCTTCAAAAGGCTATGAACAAGCTCATGCGGTAACAGCATCGAAAGCTGCTGGGTCTCATTCTTCTGCTTGGCCTGGTTTGTAAGAAATCGCAGTAAAAGTATACACCGGCGGCCATTTCGTGTTGCGAAACGCTTTCCGCAGCAGATCGCGATTCTGGTTGCCGTGTTTGCGATTAACAGCAAGGTCGTCTATGTTCGCCGTTCCAGCATTCTTCGCATTCTCGAACATACGAGCTGACCTTGAGGCCGACAAACTGTTGCCCAAGAATGCATCGAGCATATCGTGTCTGAACCGTTTGTCCTCCGGCATATCTTCCAAAGCTTCATCCGGGAGAGATCTTTTGTTGAACATCTTTCCGAAAGCTCAAAATCCAGCAAGAATCGGCGAAAGCTCCAAATTCAGCAAGAATCGAAGCTCCTGCCGAGGAGCTTCCAATGTCAGAGCTTCTGAACACGAGGCAAAAAATCGGTGAGCCTGAGAGGAAGCAGTGCCAAAGGATGAGTCTGCATGCATGGAAACTGCTTGCAAAATGGCGCTTTTGCAAAACATGCCCTGTCGGCCTGCACTACGAGCAACAAGAACAAGCTTTGTTTTCTTCGCTGCAGCTGAGCCGTCTTCAAGCCGTGAAGGGTCCACAGATGCATCCGAAATTGCTTGCATTTCGCTGCAAACTCAAAAGTACTTCGAGGCCCTCGGGAGGTGTAAAAAAAAAGCCCAACTATATGCAACAATGCAATGTCCCTTTTTCAACACACAACAATTGATCTACGAAACTGACGTGTATATATTCCAAACTACTTGTCAACAAACCCGCCACGGACCTCAGAAGTGTGACCTGACCCGGGCGGCACTCAGTCCGAGGACATCAGCTGCTTCGTCTGCTTAATGACATGGCCCGATGCCTTGTGATGGTTGGTACACTGCTCGATTAATTTGATCGTTTGGCCGACTTTGTCCTGGTAATCGCCGCTCTTGTCGTTGGGAAGCCCTTCGGCCAAGTTTACCCGCACTTCCTTCAAGAACTCTTCTTGTTCCAAGCCGGATCCTGGGCACTTCGGATCTGGGTCTGGATCAGCATGAGCTCCTCCGAGTTAGTCCTCAACTTTGCTCGAAGGCCATTGGGCTCCTTGTGTTTCTCCGCCAACAACTTGTAGGAATCGCTCAACTTCTCCATTGCATCCGTACTGCTCCCACTGGGGGCGGAGTTCCTTCCAAGGAGCTCCAAGCTCATCTGGTTCCCTTTCTTGAGGTTGTTCGCCCAGCTTTCCATTTTCTTTGTGCTCTCGGTGGCTGTGGTCTCTGTCAGGCCCTCAGTGTACTTGAACAGGTACTTGTTCAAGCAAGGAAACTTGGGGTGCTTCTCCACTTTGCGATCGTACTGGAACTCTGCCTCTGCTTCTTTCAAAACCTCCTCCAATATCTCGTCCTTCTCAACGTCCGTGGCCCCGTCGACCTCGATGCCTTTGAGCTCGAAGATCTTTGACCTTGGATCACAAAGCATGCATGCATCTAGCTTTTCAGCAACATCAAAAACCATGCGAATCAACAGCACCAAGAATCCTCGTGTACATGCTGGTCCGGCACCGCTCGCTGCTGGTATCCTTGTTCTCCACGGCTTGGTGAAGGGTGTTGACCCAGCTGCAATTCTTGACACCGTACTCTTGCAACCTGTTCAAAATAAGCCTTTTCTTCTCCACCGACTCTGCTTGCTCGTACTCCTTCCAAGGAGGGGAAGGAATAAGTATAGAAATCAAAACATTTAAGAAACAGAAGCCAAACACATCTGATCTCCGCCGACTCCTCCAATGTCTTCTGGGCATTTTGCTTCTGCTCCGGAGTCGCACTCTGAGATGCTCTTGCCTGATACTTCAAGCTGGTGAGGAGAGCAGATATCGTTCCTCTGGCGAAACCGAGGGTGCCCCCCGAATTGGCTGTCGTTGCCGGGTCCAGCGGCGGCGCCCCCGTTGCCGACTCCCGCTTTGCCTTCGGTGGGGTCGACTTCTCTGCTTTGACCCTGCCACCCATCCATTTATTCTCGGCGGCCGTTTTCGCCGCCGTCTTCTGGACCTTACCGGCGGCCTTGGCCTTGGCTCCGGCTGACTTTGCCTTCGGGGCCATGATCGATGGAAGCTCGGGGCTGGCCAACTTCAGAAATTTCGAGCACTGCATGCATGTGATCTGCAAGAACAGCAACAACAAAGCCAACAACAACGAATCAGATACAACGTCTATATCCAGCTCCTACAAAGGAGATCTTGATATGTGGCTCTACGATCTTTTTTTTCCTCCTCAGAAGGTGTCCTGTACTGTGCAACCGGAGGTTGCCAGCAGGAAGTGTGCAATGCGAATTCATCTGTGCGGATGCTTGCTGCTTCAGGACCGGATATCTAGTGCTTCATGACTTTCTTCTTTCTTAGTGATTTGTATCGAAAAACATATTTTCTGCGGCACCTGCTTAGCTTCCATGTGCACCGACTTAACACCTGTACATGCCGGTGTTCTTGTGGTGTCTCGTAGTCTTGCTCGTAGTCCACCCAACCACGGCCGTAGTCGCCGTAGCTGCGGTCGTACCACCAACGGCGGCCAGCAGACCAATCGTCATCCTGCAGCTGATCATCCCAGCGGCGATCAGACCAATCCTGATCCTGCTGCTGATCTTCCCAACTGCGATGTTGTTCTTGCTCTTTCGTCCAATATACCCAGCCGTAATACCATGGCATGGTGGTATCCTTTTTCTCGACCGCTTATTGGTGAAGGGTCTTGACACCGTGCTTCGGATACATATTCATTTCCCATGCATGCAAAGCACATCACTCACGTGCAGATATGCACAGACACATGCATATATGCCTACACACAGTTTCGTATACACATGCATATATACATATACATCTATACATGCATGCATGCATACATATGTCTAAGTGTACATATGCACATACATATGTACATATATACATATAAACATCTATACATGTATACATTCATATGTACATATGTATATGTATATATACATCTATGTGTACTTGTATGTACAATTATACAAGTATACATATATACATATATACATATATGTATATACACATATAAAGATATACATATGTATATATATATATATGTGTGTGTGTGTACGTATATACATATATATGTAAGTACTATTGTATGCATGTAAGTACATCATATGTACATGCATGTGCAGCACGGCATGTCAAGTTACCCTTGTGTCGCTGTACATGGAGCATACATGAGTGATCAATATGCATGAATCATGCATAGACAGTCATTGGCAGGAACATGCGGAAAGCTTGTCCCACGTGCAGTAGATCCAGCCTGGCCACGGGATTTATCTGAAGCTGTTCTTTGAAACACATTTTGGCAAAAGTTTTTTTTAACATTTTTTAACAGCCCTTTCTTTAACAGTTTTTAACAGCTGTTAAAAACTGTGGTTTCAATATATAACCAAAAGGAAACCATGCATTTTTAACAGCTGTTAAAAACTGTTAAAAAATGATTGTTAAAAAAATGTTAAAAAAAATTAAAAACATGCTGCACACACACACACACACACACACTCCGACTGAGAGGCCCAGCCTCCTGCCAAGGAGGTCCAACACGACTTTGTAGTTGCGGCAACCGCCCGGCCTCAGAGGAAACCGCGGCAAGCAAACACAAGGCACACTGCCCTATCTCTCGGCTGCACTCTCGGCACCAGCTTCTGCGAAAACACATTGGAACAATCCTGCTGCATATGCACATGCACTCTGGGGTGCAGGCTCCTGCCAAGGAGCTGGGGTGCTGCCTGTGCAGGATCCAAAACAAGAGCAAGCAGCCAGCAATGCAACTTGTATGGTTGTGCTACATGCATGCAAGTCATGCAGCAAGCCGGCCCGCAAACAATGTTGGAACACTCCTGCCAAGGACTCCTTTTCGATGCTCTGGAAGAAGCATATTCCTCCTTCGGCCGTCGAGGCTAGCATTGCAGCTGCCTAAAATGGCCAGGGCCCGAAATGCTGGATCACTCCAATTGATCCGGGTCGTACTGGAGGTTCTCCTGCAGGCGTTTCAACTTCTTGTACGTGAGATCCAATGCATTCACATGTTCGATGGTCTCCGCCCCTTCGACCAGCTCTCGGAATGTCGGCGACAACACTACTTCGAGACCGGAGTCCTGTTCCTGCTGGGCACCATCATCCTCAGGCGGCTCTTCTGGAGGCTGAGGCGGCTCGAAAGCACGGTCGGATCCCTTGGCTGCATCGCCAGAGGATCGCTCCTGCAAACAGAAGAGACATCATGTCACTTATATGCAATCACAAACAACTATAACTCTACCCTAAGCATACAACCAACTCCTACCAAGGAGAGGTGCATGGGTTTATGCCGAGTGACCTGGCATGCCTCTGCATCAATTGATAAACCCCGGCATGCACCGCACTCCTTCGCCAGCCTGCGAAGCTTCATCCTGTCGTCGGGCTTGTCTCCAATCCAACGCCCCGCATCCTTCAAGGCATTGATCTGTGCTGCGATCCAAATTTGCCTCTTCGATTTCTTTTTTTGGAGCTTGAGGGTGCATTTGTCGTGTCGATATAATCATTCTCCCATTCGGACGTGGTCCAGTACTGCAGGTGGCGGGCCTCATTTGCCGATGGCTGCCAAGGGGTCACGGCCGTCGACTCGTCCTTCTGCCAGCCTTTCTGCCCTTTGTTCTTGCAACCACCACGATCCCAGTCCCAGCCTCTGCTCCAGCGATCATTGCCCGGCTCCTTTTTGTCCGCCTCCTTCTGCTCAGGAGCTGGCTCCTGCTCATCGGGCTCCTTGTCCGGCCGATTCCATGGCCACTCGGACCCCGGATCAGCCTCCTGGTCCGGAACCCATGGCCACTCGGACCCCGGCTCCTGGTCACCCTGAGCTGGGCCATTCGGTCCCCGACTCCTGGCCCGCCTTCTCCGGAGCTGGCTCCTTCCCAGGAGCCGCATATTTTCCCATATGCTTCGACAACTCCGGATCATGCCCTGGTGCATTTTCCGCTTGCATCTTTTGCCAAGCAGTACCCATGGCACAAAGGGAAGCCCGTTGTTTGTCATGTGCTGAGGCATCGGTCGACTTCTCCACTTTTACTGCGACTTCCAAGTCGCGGGCAGCCTTTTGAGAAGATCGCACGGCTTGCCAGGCCTGAGACGCTGCCTGCATGCGACATGGCAAGCCTTCTTTTTCTTGCTCCTCCTCGTAGCTCTGCAGGGCCGCGATCTCCTCTTCGCCCGACGACGGAGTGTCGACGATGCCCGAGGCTGCAACGCCGTCCGCCTCGCCATAGCTGCCCGAGTCTTCCTTGCCTTGCTCGCACTCCATTTGTAAATGACCCTGGTAAACCCGGTCGTACATGTACTCTCGGCGCCAGCTTTCCGGTGTCCAGGTCCTCGAAGTGCTAGCTTTGCCCCTTTGATAGAGCTTCATGTTTGGAGGCTGACTCAAATAGTATTGCTTGCACAACAAGTTCACGCACAGCCCCTTCCGCAAGTAATACTGGCCTTTGCATGATGGGCAACACCTGGAGGTCCGGTATGCCCATAGCCTCCTCGCTGCCAGAGTACTTGCTGAGCGACATGGTGGCTTGGGAAGGGCAAGATATATCTACAGAAAATTCGCAGATAGATAGACACATAAAGACATAGATACATACATAGATAAATCTAGATTCTGCATATAATGATCCATGTCACAGCCTGCATCTCCTACCAAGGAGTTTCTTACATGATGGATCCCCTGCAGTCTGCTACCAAGGAGTTTCTTCATGCACACTCTGATGGCTCCTACCAAGGAGTTTAGGAATCCAGATTCTAACTCATATCGACATGTGCCACTCATGTGCATGCTGCAATCATCCTCCAGGTCGATCACGATCCGACACTGCAGCCGGCCATGAAGCGTGCATGCACTCGACAATCTTACGATTGCTGTGGTCACACATGCTCGTCTCAGCACGAAAAATCCGATGCACTGCCGCACAACTGCTCACACATGAAAACTGCTCCGCCGGCCTCCTGCCAAGGAGATCGCGGTGCAACTCGTTGAAGTCGATCGATGCTAGCCGAGGTCGCCAAAAACCTGCACAGGACATCCACATTTTGTTTCAAGCATGCATAATCACCATGCACTTCCAGGACTCTAGGCCCATTGTTCTGCTCAATCTCACACGCATGCAAAGGCTCAAGAACTCAAGACGTCAAGCTGCAGAATTTCATCACTCGAATGATCATGCTGTTAACATGACTGCCACTTACACACAAAAACACACACACACACACACGCATGCATGCACAGCCCGGCCTCCTACCCATAAGGATCCGAGGAAATGGCTGCAGATCTCGAACTCAATCGGCCCATGCAAGAAAAACATCGATCATGCTCATGCAAGAAAAACGAAACTTCGGTCCAGCACAATATTATGTTTCAGTCAGAGACGATCGAATCTACCTGCCGGCCTTGCCACATGCATGTGCTGCCATTTCTTTCCATGCATGCTGCAGATGTAACGTGTACTAAGCTGAGGATCTAGCCTCGGGAACAGCAGTCATATTAGTCCAATTCTCGGATGCTCTTTCTTAAAAATTTTCTACAATCCTTCAGGCACTCCTCAAAGCAGAGGGCAATCGTCTCATACTGACTGAAGCTGTATTCGCCTTTGCAGCCTGGAGGCTTTTTCACCCAAATGGCACGGTTACGGACCAAGATGTCCAAGCATATCTGGCCTTCGTCGAAACGAAGTGTGTAGCTGTGTTGCCCTTCTTCCTCGCCGGCGGCTTCGGCAGGTGCCTCGGCCTGGACGGCCTGGGCCACTTCTGCTGTGTTTTCCGCAGTCTCCTTTTTCTTCTGTTTCTTCTTGCTGCTCTCTGCTTCCGTCCTGGGTCGCTTGAGCTTGCTCGACGAAGAACTCTTCCGTGTTAGCAAAAACAGGTTGGGAACCTGGCTCTCGAACGCCACCTCCCCTTCGAAGTGCACCGTACACAATCCATCTGGGCCGGGCTGCAGTTCGCCACGAATGGTTTCGCCTCCTGGAGCCAACTTCACACAGCAGCCTTCAGCGGGATCGAAGAAGGGCTTCATCTCCGGAACTGCAGCGGCCTCTTCCTCAGAGCTCCCTAATATCGTGCCCCCGTGGCTAGAGATCTCTAATGAAGCTTGCTCATCGTCATCATCCTCTATCAATTCCACAGCTGCAGCTGCAGGCCTGCTGCCCCTTGCAGCCGCCGTCAGGCTGTCCGCCGGCAATCCATACAGGGCAAAAATGTCGCTCGAGGATGCACTCTGCTTGTTCTTCAAACGCTTGCTTGGTGTGAAATGCAGCTTTGTCGGTTGCATAGGACTCACTTGCACAGAACTAGTAGCCAACGAAGATGCTGACCCAGCTGCAGGAGAAGAAGCCTTCGACTTGTTCGACAATGGCGTCCCAGGTAGCTTCGGCCCCTGCAGATCTCTGAGTCTGGCGACAACACGGTAGGTCGCTGGATCCAACCTCTTGCCGCTCGTCGTGCTCTGTAGCTTGGCTCTGCAATGTTTGAAACAAGCATGTATAGACCTTGCAACCGCCTTGCAATCTTTCATACTCAGCTCGTACGATTCTTGAAGTGCGGAGGTTAACACCTTTTCTGTGGGTCTCAAAGTCTGCTCCAAGATATCCAACAGGAGCTGCTCATATTTTGCTATCACTACGTCCTCATCCTCTCGGAAACTTTTCACATCCAAGTGCGCGACCTGCTTGATGTGTAACCGAAAGCACTTCTTTAAGTCTTTGACACTCGCCGTGTTTCTCACCCGGGTCGCGGGCCCGGCACAAGAAGACGCCATGGCAGATATATATATATATATATATATATATATATATATATATATATCTCTGCGATCGATCGTTCCTACAACTTATTCGAAATGCATGATCCTGCAGTTCCATGCACTTCTCACCAAGATCTTGGCTATATAGTGCATGGCCTGCCTAGGCTTGCATGCATGGCCTAGATGTTACAAGTTGGACCGCATGCACTCATGCAAGACACCATCCATTGCATGGCTTCCAATCCTGCCAAGGATCGATCGAGCCGGCCAGCACCATGCATGCATGCCTCGACATTTCAATCGGGTCGGTCCTGCACATCCCAAAAAAAAAAACATGCTCGAAAACAATAACATCGATCGATGCACGTGCCAAAGCGATGCACAAGCCAAAGTATACATGTCGGTGTCGATCATGCAAAATCAAAACTCGTGCATGAAAATGATATGCACGCATGCATGCATGCTAGATCGAAAACATACATATATATGTCGATATGATATATATATATATATATATATATATATATATATATATAGATATATATATATATCATGACGGTTAACGTGCTTAAATAAAAATCTTTAATTAGTGGAAGTTGATCATGCAAAACTAAGTAGCATTGGTTGTTTAAGCATGTGCATGCTTACTTAAACAGAGAAACGTGCTTAAATAAAGCATTAAAGTCTTTAAATTGCATTAAAATTGTTTAATAAGCTTTAAATTGTTTAAATAAGCGTTGTTTCTGATGTAAGATATTTCATTTAACTATTGTTTGCTTGATTAAGCAACATTGGATGTTCTGGGTGCATGCGGGCCACAGCAAGAAGACCAGATGCATGCGCCGGCGAGACCACCAAGAGCGGCCCCGTTCCACGGGTGAGCGCCGCTGTAAGCCGTTGATGCGCCGCCTCGCCGCATTCAGTGAAGTCACCCGCCCGAGCCTGTAGAGCCTGCACACGCGATGGCGGAGAAGAGGTGAGGAAGGGACCCAGCTCCGCATGCCTGCGGCCGAAGAATCTCATCACCGCGCGAGCTTGCCGGACCGTAGAATCTCAGCTGGCCTCGGCAACTCTGGGTCCTGTTCGCAGGCCCATTCTTCCAACAACTTGCCCTGCTGCCCATCATTGGATTGAAGCTGCTCGTGCTGGTCCGTCAGCCAGGCGCTGCTGGTCGCAGCCAGCCTGCCGATGCTCGGCGTGTCCGGGCTGGCGCCAGGCGCCAACTGCCAGTGCACTGCTTGCGGGTATCGCACCGCGGTTCTTTTGAGACAGACTTCCGTGCGCAGACGGGCAGAACTGACGAGGCCGAGATTGAAGGCCACCCCGTTGATCACCTCTAATCCCTCCGCCTGATGTGTATTCCTGACCATTTTGAGCCGGCCCCGTGGCTGCGAAGACCAAATATGTAAGGGCTCCGCTCCATCCCAGGTGCTCAGCTGGTGCGGCAACCGCCAACGCCCAGACAGAGGAAGCAGGGCAGGTCTCCCACACGTAACAGAGCCGCGTAAGGGACGCGACAGACCTGGTCCCCAAAGCGCACATCACAGGCGTTTTGCAGGCGTTTCTGAACAGGCAGCCCCTCACATTCGGCGTGGAGAAAAGAAAAGCCACCGCGCCCACTCTTCGCGCAGCTCGATCTCCGGTAGATCATCGCCACTTGTCCAGGCGTCCTCACCCTGCACCGTATCTGCCAAACACTGATTTGCACCAAGACCTCGGACCGATACCGCTCTAACTGCTGCGGCTCTGAGCCCTGGGTAATCAGGAGGATGCGGACCTCCAAGGGCGGAAACGGCGAATCGTCGTCCACATCCACACCTCGGGCCGTCAGCCACGATTCCAGCAGCCCGCCCTGGTTTTGGTCTTTAGGTTCCGCTCCACAAGCCAGCAGGACGTGATCGTGCACCGTGGAGAACAGATCCTGTTTTCCAGACACTCTGCGGGCGACAACCATTGCCGTTGCCATTTAGATGCATCGACGAGCACATTGTAAGATATCATGAGCACTGCGAGAAGGGCAGCATGCTGCTGCAATGTCCAGAACGGCCAGCAAGGAGGGAGAACGTTAGATGCTCCCGGGCACCCCAAAATGTTGAGAGAGGTGCGGTTCGTGCCACGCGCAGCAAGGATAGCTTGTATGTGCGCTATCAGAAGTCCATCAGGGTCCTTAAGCAAGGTGCTGATGGCTCACAGAAGGCACACCCACCAATGTTTGCAGCCTCCAGCAGCTGGATCGTAGAGTCATTTTGGCGGGCGCGGCGTTTGCGCGGTAACCAATTATTAATCAAAAAAATTAACGGCGCGCGCGGAGGCCGCCAGCGATTTTTTTTTGGCGTATGCGGGCCTCGTCGACTACGGCTGTAGCACTCGGTCCCTACAAACAAACAAACCATCAAACAAACGAAAACAGCGGTGAAACAAGATACCTAATTAGAGAGGGTGGAACTAGCTGCGGCGTCCAGGCTTTGCCGGGGTTTGCCGTTCAGCACCTGCTACGGGTCCTCAGCGATCGTTCCACAACAACAGTGGGCCGTCGCCCAAAGTTGCCCAAGACCGTCAGTGGAGCCCAAGTCAAGGCTCCGGCCGCCGTTCTAGTTCCGTCGAACAACGGTCGGCCCCGAGGTCCTGTTGTGTCCCGATCGTGCACGGAAAAAATCCACAAGTCCAGAAGCCCAAGGCCAGCGGCAATGGAAAGACCCGTCGACGTATGTCGAAAGGTTGGACACTGTGGCCAGCCAATGAGTCCAAGGTCTGAAAAGGGCCTCGCTCCTAGGCAGCGATCGTGCACACCAAAATCCACAAGTCCAATGTCCACGGCCGGGCGACGTAAGGTGAAGGCACCCAGGCAGTGAGTGGCAAGCCAAAGGTGACAGAAGCGGCGTTCTCGCTCTTACTAACCGCAACATATACCGATGGTGACGCGACCAATGCCAGGCAGTGACGACGAAACTACGACAAAGCAGAGCCCAAACACGAGGCCGTAAGAGAAGCAGCGTTCTCGCGCTTACTAACTGCAACCTTGCAACCTGTTGAGAAAAGACAGGGACCTAAGCAGACGTTAAGAGGCGAGCATGCAGAAGTGACAGAAGCGGCGTTCTCGCTCTTACTAACCGCAACATATACCGATGCGCGGCCAACGCCAAGCAGTGACGACGAAACTACGACAAAGCAGATCCCAAACACGAGGCCGTAAGAGAAGCAGCGTTCTCGCGCTTACTAACTGCAACCTTGCAACCTGTTGAGAAAGGGCACAGACCGAAACAGACGTTAAGAGGCGGGCATGCAGAAGTGGCAGAAGCGGCGTTCTCGCTCTTACTAACCGCAACATTCACCGAAATGTCGCGACCAATTCGGGCGGCGACAACCGAGCAACGACAAAGCAGAGGCCAAACCCGAGGCCGAAAGAGAAGCAGCGTTCTCGCGCTTGCTAACTGCGACCCTGCCCCGTTGGGAAAAATGCCGCCCGATGCAGACGTCAAAAGGCAAGCATGGAGGCGGGCGTCCCAGAGCCACCGATACGCCTACTTAGGCGCCTCCTGCGAAACAAGCCGTAGATTTTTTAAGGCCTTGGCTATGATACCTCTTCTGCAGGTTTTGGGAGCCCCCACCCTAGGGCTCACTGCAAAGGACAGCCGTTTGAGCTTGAGAAGCTGAAAAACCAGCCCTACATCTTAACTAACCCTCTGTAGCGGCCTAAATTTTTAGAAGGGCTCAGCCAAAGGGTGGGACGGGTACCCAACCCCTACAAAACGCAAAAGCTCTCGGCAAAACCTTATTTCCATCCTGCTGGGTAGCGAAAGTATTTCGCAATCCAGTCTCGATGGTGTTGGAAGCTTTGCGGCGTGCAGCACAGCAAGACCTGCCTCTTGACCTGTGTGGCTCTAACCTTTGCGGCAGCGCGACCTGACCTCCAACTTACCTGCGTGCATGAACAAGCCCTCTTGACCTACCTCTGGGTCGAGTGAAAAGGTGTGGCCTTCGAACCTTTGGACAAACTGCGAAGGCACAGGGCGTCCGATCATGCTGCACAGGCAACTGCGCAGATGACAAGGGTGGCTTTACCAGCAGGCCACCACGCGGAGCGTTGACTGCGTGAGTCTCGTCAACCGTTCCAAGGCGGGCACAACCAACCCCGCACCGCACAAGCAAGCTTCCCTCCCTCCAGAAGCTTTCTTCGCGAGTCAGAGACGGGTACCAACTCCTACAGAGCGCCAAAGCTCTCGGCAAAACCTTATTTCCATCCAACTGGGTAGCGGGTGACAAGAGTGGCTGCAGGCCACGTCGAGCGATTGACTGCGTGAGTCTCGTCACCCAAGTACAGAAAACTTTGGCAAAACAGGCACAAGCAAGCCTCTTCCAAAGCTCGCTTGGCGAGTGTTGGCCTCCCAGCAGGGATCTCAGACGTTTGGCTATGACTCCCACTCTGCAGGTTTTGGGATACCCATACCAAGCACAACCGCTTCAACTTATAGGGTTAGAAACCTGCCCTAAATCTTAGCTAACCCAGCGGCCTAAATTTTTAGAAGCGTTCGACCCCTAAAAAGCGCAAAAGCTCTCGGCAAAACCTTATTTCCATCCGGCTGCTGGTGGCAATAGTATTTCGCAATCCAGTCACGATGGTGTTGGAAATGCGGCGTTGAAAAAACATCCGTAAAAGGCACCCACTGTGAGAGGCACCCGTGAAAAGGCTGCAGCACAACCAAACCTGCCTCTTCTACAGCTTGCTATAAGACGTGGAAGGCATGTTGCGTGTGTGCTCAACAGCAGATGGCGGCGCATGGACAAACTAAACAATGATAAGGGTGGCTTTACCGGCAGGAAGGTGACGATCCGTCTTGAAAGTGAGGCAGAGGTGGCAGCGCAACGCCGGACGTTTCCGATGCTTTTCGCCGAGTTCCAGCCGGCCCTGCAGAAGCCGCGGCCGGGACAGGCGCGGCTCCCTCGCCCATCGCGAGCCTGCTGCTTCCCAAAGCGGCGTAGGCGCCAGCTCTGCACAGTCCTTCCGATCGGACCGG